GAAAAAAAAAAAAAAATACATATATACGTACTGTGAAGATAAAGTTGAAAATAAATAGTAAATACTTGATGGTATTTTCACCGCAATTCATTGTGTAAAAACAAATATTTGAATATTTTATTCACTCACTATTTAAAACAAACAATAACTCCCGCTATACTAAAAATCTAATATAATTAATAATAATTATATATTACTGTGGATAATACCAATTTATTTATATATATATATATATATATATATATATATATATATATTATGTATGTCGTATATATCACAAATTAATAATTAGATGATTTGTTTGTATTTTACAGAGGAATTTTTATAAATATTTGTTAATTAACGTTTTACTGTTTGTTCAAAGGAAGAAAACGAAATAATACGAGCACCAGATTATAAATTAGCCAGACACCATCGTTTCTCACTTTTTTTTAATAATTTTACAGGGATTTTTGGAGCAAATGTAAAAAATAATTAATTGTTCTAGCTCCAGTGATACTTTGATCAAAAATAACTTTTTCTTTAAAGAATATAAATATATATATATTTATATCGTATATAATAAAATAAACTGTAATAATTATATTCATAGCAATAATAATATTAATAGAAATAATAATAATAATAATATTGAGTAAAAAGCTTGTTAAAACAAAAAGCATTAACAAAAGAAAATGAATAGTTGTTACCGGGGATTACTCCACTCCGTGTTCTCATAAATAAAAATAAAACTGCTACTCTTGATTAAATATCATTTACAAATTGTTCAATTTATACTCATTACGTTTATAATTTTAAATATAACTCTCTTTATCTCAGCCACGCCCTCGTAGTATTGTTGATTTTATATTTTTTTATTAAAACTTATACTTTCTTGTCAATTTATTAACAATTGCCAATGAAATTTATCGTATCGGGTCTCGGCTATTAGTCGACTTTTAATTATTTAAATAAAAAATATAACACTAAATAAAAATATTATTATTATTATATATATTTATATATACATCTATTATCATTTTCTATGCTTTAATTTTCATAGTTTGTTTGTTTGTTTATTTGTTTCTTTTTTTTTTTAATGAAATATTCTATCAAAAAGCTGCTGGGATATTTCCAAATATATTTATTACTTTTTGTTTCGGATACGCGTAAAAAACTATATTTGATAGTACCTGATCCTCTCCCGAAGAGTATAATAAACGCAGGTACTCCCAACTTGAACAGTCTACCGGTTTACCAGGCCGAGTCGATTGCTAGCCATGTCTCCCAAAGAAAATCAGGCTCCTAAATCGCTCTTTTAAGCCATAAACCTGGTAGCGCTGCTGGTGATATAATTCACTCGGATATTTTACATTCATGACCCTACTGAAGAGCGCTTAAGAGAAAAAATAGACATATATCCATTATTTATCCATTTAAAAGCACGAGTACGCATTCGCGACGTAATTAGATGTCTCAAGGCCTTGCATGTAACCTGCCAATTCCGTATTATCCGAAATTTGTATCACAAAATTTATTTTTTTTTTCTTTTAAATCTTAACTTTTTTTTTGCTCACTTTATAATTTTTATTTATTATATTTAGTTACTATATTTAGTGTATAATATTAATTTGAAGTTGAAAAAGTGACTAAAAAGCAACGAAAAGAGTTTGAAATAAATTTGAGGCGCGTGACTGAGAGAACGTGAATTTATAATATATGTAAGACAAATAAAAACGTTGAGTGAAATATGATCACTAGCAATAATATTTATATTTATATTTATTTATATATTTATTTATATATATATATTTTTTTTTTATTCAATATTATTATATATTATCATCGATAGACATGGTAGCAAAAATTGAGTAGGATGAGAACTATTCCTGGTCGTATCAAAACGTCAAGGATATCAAAGTCCTCTCCTCAAGGCAGCGGCACTCACAATACCTATTTACAAAAATATATACATGAGCAACTCACTCCTTGTTGTTATTATTATTATTATTATTATTATTATTATTTATTAAATTGTTTTCACGTATATTATTATTTTATTTATTCTTTCTGTCTCGATTCTCTCAGTCACATTTAAATCTACAAACTTGGTATCCATTTAATGATTATTATTATTATTATTATTATTATTATTATTATTATTATTATTATTATTATTCATTCATATCATATCATATCATCGATCGACTTTTTCTCATCCTATTAAGACAACTATTATGTACCACTAATTTTATTCCCATATAGTACTAACTACATTATTATTTATGTAAAGAATATGTATTGATTTTTTTTATTTTTCCTTTTTTTTTCATTGCATACTAATAAACTAATCTAACAGTATAATTGCTGCTTATCTACAAAATTTTATTTTATATATATATATATATATATATATATTTATATATATTTATATAGCGGTATACAACGATAAATCTCCGGTGGCGTTTTTCACATATAAACGACGAACCTGTCTTCGTTTATTATCGTTCATAATAATAGTAATAATAATATAATACGTTACTTTTTATGAATAATAATCATCATTATTATTATTATGATCATTGTTTTAGTTTTGTTTCAGTACAGATAATAAACCTGCGCGCATTGAATTTGCCTGTGTACGTCATCGTATTAATTGTCTCTATAAGAGTACGCATGAACGCGTACTTAATCGCTGAAGAGGAAGCTCCTGACGCAATATACAAGGATACTGGCCTCTTCGCAGCACCACTAGTCTCACATCAAGTACAATTGTATCTACGCGAATTTATACAAAAGCAGAAAAAAGGAAGAATATTAATGAGAGAGTTAATATCATTATTTTCCTTGTTTTTTTTACAACTCACACCTAATCGCAGTCTATTGTAATTGGGACTTTAATTCATAAATATAAATCCCGTATTAGTGCAAATCTTATTGACTTGCTGATTAGTGTAATCTCATGTGATAACTCGGGTCGATAATCCTCCACATCCATACATACATTTTCTTTAAATAACAAACTATCAAATCGTCCCCACTGCCGCCACCCAAGAAGTCTTTACGAAAAAAAAAAAAAAAAATATAATAAAATTTATCAATTATTGCCATTACAGCGAATTATTCCTCGTGATAGCTACGTAAACATTGTTGGATATGTTGCCATATTGTGAGGAAGTGCCGTTATGTAATTGGGAGTGGGTGGCCTGGGACTTTGCCACTGGGGTCAGAGAGCTCGCAACTTCTTAATTCCAGCTTGTACATAACGCACCAAGTCCCGCAATGAACTTCTCAATGTCAGCGGGCCAAGTTTTTCGTCCAGCTCGATAAAGAAATCTGGTTAACAAAAAAAGACACAATTAAATTAAATTAAATATACCAAGTTATAAATATTATTATTAAAATTTTTTTACTTACCTCGATGCATGTCCGAAACTAACTGGGCTGCTTGATCCCATAAATCGTGACAATTCGTTAACAACATGAAATGTGAATTCTGTTTTATCAAAATGGAGTGAATTGGAAGAGGAATGCTGACAAATGATGGTTGTTGCTGCGAGACAATATTTCTGTTAAGTTCTCCGCTATTATATCCAGAACTTTGGCTACCTACAGATCCAACGGAGCCTGCCGGGGATGGTGTTGGAGACAGCGAAGGAGTTCCTTGACCCTCAGCGTGCACCAACGTCGGCTGCGTAGGCTATTAAATAATTATTGAATTAAATTATATGCATTAACTTTAGATTTTTATCCATTTAACGCGGATTTATTATCATAAATATAGTATTTGTAGTATACTTACTTTTTGAGTATATTCAGCGAGAATTTTAGCATTTTCTTTAACTTCGTGTTGCCTCATTTTGTAGAGTTTTAAATAAATAAGAGACTGGCACCATAAACTGGAAAAATAATAAATAATTAATTATTTGCTTTGAAAACCTAAGACGGTCGGTCCGAAATTGATTGAATTATTAAAGAACTTTTTTTTTTTTTTTTTTTTTTTTTTTTCATCCATGTCGGATCAATACTCACCTCAAGATAGCCAACTTGTTACGGATACTACTCTCAGGTGAATTGTTCTGTTGGCTCTTGAACTTAGACGAGATATACCTGAAAACGAGATGAAAGTCAAGAAAACTCTTTTGTTACGAACTAATTGGCGTTTTTACAAATGCACTTCATCCGAGGCTTACTTTATAAGACTAAGAGTGTCTCTGTACATAGTAAAAGCGGATCTTTCGGTGAGTGGATCGGACTCCATGGCCTGCCCTGTGAGAAGGAAATACAATACTGCCTCCAAGTACAGCATGCATTGCGCCGTCAACTCACATTCCTCATCTGCGCTGTGTTTTAATCTTTTAGCTTCTGTCAGGTACTGATTCTGGTCCCTGGATTTATAAAAATAAAAATTCCATTCAAATATTCACATCTTGAAATGTTAAAAAGTAGAAAAATTTATTCTTACCTATCCTGGTCCTCTAAAACGTCATTTTGAGGATTGAAGTAAGAATAGTAGACACGTTGAGGTGGAGCTGCTGCCGGTGGGGGCAACAGATTAATGTCTGGTTTTTCTTCCCGTTCGTGATTTGTAGGTTGAATATCATTTTGCTGGAGTAAGAAAAAAGTAATAATTTATTGAAATGATCAAATATTTTCACTGGAAAAAAAAAAAAAAAAAAAAAAAAAAAAAACTAACTTGTCGGGAAGATGATCTCGATGAATTGGATTCTTTGTCAGCGTGATGTCGTTTTCTCTTTTTCTTTTCTTTGTGTTCACTGGTAGATGATTTGACCTTACTATTACTATCCATTGAACACATATTTAAACTAGATACAGAACTGCAACTAGCATTACGTTTACGTTTGGGCACTCGATCCCCAGTATTATTATCAATAACATTAGCACTAGCACTAGCACCGGTACCAGAGTTCGTAGGACCACTGTTAACTCCACTGCCACTAGGTATCGCACGATTACTTTTAGAGTCCGCCCCAGTTAAACTAACTAACTCACTCTTACTCTCAGTACGTTTACTTTTGGATAAGCCAGGAGGTTGATCAGTCGTTACGTGATGGTGATTATCGTGTGTCCTAAAATCAATGGAAGGAGGTGGAGTGGGAGTATCAATGATTTCACCCTCTTCTGGTGTAGGAGGTCGCTCGGATTTGACGGATTGTCTTGAAGCCGGCCTAGTGTCTGACAATTCAGTCCTCTGTCTCAACTCCTGGCCTCGCGATGGCCTTGGAACGTGAGAAAGCCGACTGAGATCGACCTTACAAAAAAGCGAAGGGACCCCGTTGACTCCATAACTCAAAGGTGGGAAGCTTGGCAAGGTGGAGGATTGCGACGACGGTCTTTTGTACGGGCTTTCACCACCGGTCGGCGTACTCGCAGTGTACTCTTCCACGTAAATTCCACATTTACCACCACCCTTACCACCCTTGCCACCTTTGCCGCCACCCTTTGCACCGCCCTTGGCACTTGAAAACAATTTCCTAAGTGTATCACTTTTTTTCTTGTCCTGGACATTACCAGCGTCCTCCTCTTGCAATTTCGGCGTTGGACTGTTGTCACTGTCGGAATTATCAGGCGAGGTGACTCTTGTAAGCGGCGCTCTGGGTCTCGGGGGTACTCTCGCAACCGGCTGGACCCGATTATTTCTCAGTGTTGTCTCTAACTCACTGTCGGAGTCAGAATTACAACCCGAGTTGCTGTTTGTTATCCTCGACCTAGGCCGTTGGGGTTTTACTTTGCTGGGACTCTTCTTTTTGTCCTGCTTCTTGGATGAAGAATCATCGGAAAGCTTATTGCGTTTAGACGAGAGTCTTCTCCATCTCGCATCATCTTCCGAAGCACTGAGTTTACTTGTAGTTTTCTCATCTTCACTTGAGGAGATGCTCAGCCGCGGTCTACGTTTGTCCACTGGGATTATCGAAGAAGCGGCCGGGGGGATTCGCTGCTCGCACTCCGAGTCACTGGACCTGTCCCGTGATCTCGAGTCGCTCAACTCGTCGCTGTTGTCCATCGGAAGCCGAGGTACCGGTATCGGTAACGCGGAAGTTTTCTTCTTGGGACTGCCTGCACTGCGAGGTTTACTGCGCTTAGAGCTGGGTTTTGATTCCTCGGACGACATTCTGTGGCCTCTCGGGCTTTTAACCGTTTCTTTAGCCGTTTTACGAGGTCGTCCGCGAGGTTTTCTCACGTCGGGAGCTTTTGGTTTATTATCTTGAACTTGAGATCTCAATTCTTCTTTTTTCTTCTTCTCAGGCTCGGAATTTTGATCACCGTCACTCAAAACTGTCAGCATTGTCGAGTTTCTGGTTCTTTTTGATGCCTCGTCAAGCTGCCAGTCGCTATTATGGTGACTTCCATCTGAGCGTCTTATTCGCATATCCAGAGATGCTTCCTCAGGTGAACTATCTCGACGAGCTGCGTCATTCTATTGTAAAAAAAAAAAATTAATTCAATTAAATGTTTTTTAAAATTTTTTTTTTATCAACTAACATTAACAAAAATAAATACCTGAGCAGTTTTATTTTCAGAATTATTATCACCAGTCTGCACAGCAGACTTGGTAAAGAAACTGCTGAGATTCCACCGAGGTTTGGACTCTTCAGCAGGCGGTGGCTCTTCTACGGGGGCTTTTGGAGACATTGAAGGCGGCGTAGAAGGGCCTTTTGATGGCGGAGGAGCATTTTCGTCCTCAGAATCACTGCTGTCATCAGTACCAGTGTCAGATCCGGAGTCCGAGCTGGAGCTGGCGCTGCCAGAACTGAGAGGAGCCTGACCCGGAGGACTAGGAGGCCTCAACGGCAGCAACGGGGAGCCTTTTCTCGAGGAGCCAGATGGCGGCGATAATAATCGCTCGGATGGCGTGTGCTTAGGCGGCGTTCTCAGTGGACTCATTGGTCTCGGAGGTGACAAAGTTGCCAGGGGCGATAACGCCATAGGCGACATCGGCGCCAAAGGTGCTGGAAGCGGTGTCATTGTTGGTATCAGCGGTGCTGAGTGTCTGTAATTTAAAGATAAAATATGTTATTATAAATTGTTATTAAAAAAAAAAAAAACTTATCGATAAAACAAGTTAATTTTCTATTACTTACTCAAGGCTTATAGTTGGACTTGCAGTAGCTCTTGATGCTCTTGAAACTGACGTCTGGAAGCATAATGTAATTCTTAATGCAATACTTAATAAAATGACGTTTAAATTAATTGTCTTTCACTCTACTCACCTTGAGGCCTTCATCCTCGCTGTCTTCCGAGAGCCTTAAATCACACTCAAGATCACTGTAATAAAAAAAAATAAAAGCCCAAATTATTATTTTTAGTCTGTAATTCATAAAAAAAAAAAAAAAAAAAAAAATATATATATATATTCATCTTTTTATTTTTACTATTATTATTTATATGAGAAAGTAAAATAAATTTGATCGTATTATTTCCAGCATCTAATCAGAAAGAAAGAGTAAGGAGCAATGAAAAGTAATAATAAAAGTTTCTCACGTCTGATTAACAAAATGTAATTAAAGTTTTCCGTAGCAAAGCGGTACTGTAAAATAAAATGGGATAGATGATAATAGTTTTAGCTAAACTGGAGTTAAGTATTTGGAGGAGTAACAGCACCAACAATCCAGCAAGTGTATCGACAGGAAAAATACTTTAAAGAGCCATAGTCAGTGAGTGCAAAGTGCCGCGAAGTCGAGTAGAGTAAGAGTAGTATAAAATAAAATCTAAAAGACAAGAGTGAGGGAGAGTAGGTATACATACTTATACTAATACTTATACACGACATATATATTTATATGTAGAAGAAGCTAAAGAGAGGACAGCGGACGTCGACCCCGCAAACAGTGTGTGTTCTACCCCATCTCTACAACGCTCTGCGTTCCAAGGTTTGCTACCTGCACTTTGTGTTACGCGCTTACCGCGCGTTAAGGTCCATCCACTTGTCACAATAACTATTTTTTTAATCGAGAATCACTGTCCAACCCAACTGTTTTTAAATTTTTTATTTCAACAGCATTTAATTTACTACTTTTGATGATTATTATTATTATTATAATTATAGCTACGCAAACAGTTTAACACTGATAAGATTTCGGGCCTTATTTGTATTGTATGGCATGCTAAGGAACAAATTGCTCGTAATAACGAGATTAGATTATCAGTAATATAAAAGGATCCTGCAATTTTATCAACTCTGTCTCTATTTTATTTAGTTAATATAGTTTTTGCTCGGTGGGTATTAATAACACTTAATCAATATCACTTTTTGTTATTATTCAACCCCTGTAGTTTTTAAAGCTCGCCGGGTGATTAAACTTTTTTTATTTTTTTTAGTTAAATAAAGTTTCCCTTTAACTGGCTCTGGTTTAATATTTAATTTATCTTTTTTGACTCTTTACTTTTAAACAGATAAAAAAACTTTCCATTTCTCTACTCATGATATCAATTGGTAAATAGATAGAAGACTTTTTTTTTTTTTTTTATTCTTCTTTAAAATTCTGAATTATTAAAAAATTGAATATTTCATCTGAATTGCTAAGTTTTTATTTATACTGGTAATTAATTTAAAAAAATAATAAAAATCCGGTTGACTAAATTTAACTAACAAGTTTATAATAATTAACGCTATCGATTGACGTCAAAGTATCCGGTTTTAATAAGCCAATACAATTAGTAATTATCACAGTAGTACAGAGGTGAAAAATAATTTGCGTCATAGGTAATAATAAACGTCAACAATAATAACAATAATTTATATTTTAATATTTAGCTGCTGTTGCCAAAAAAATTGGCCAAATTTTATTTAATAAAAAATTTACACTACAAGCTGTAATTATTATACTTTTTTTACCGTGTAATAATAATAATGGAAAAAAAAAAAAAAAAAAAAAAAAAAATATATATAAACAAGAGAGAAAGCCAGTGAATAAAAAAAGGATAAAATTATTAAATGCAGAGTACTTGTGTGTCTTACATGCAAGTCTTGGACAATTGGTTAAACAAAACGTAGACATTAAACGTGACACTTTAGATAAGCTGCAAAGCGGCATTTGGCCAACTAAATTAATGAAATTGAAAGAGCCGTCGAATGGAACAAAGGAACTTTGGACCGGTCGAATGTTTAACCGGTGGGCGGTCGACGACCCTAGCCGCCGACACAGACTAGAGTGGATGACTGCTATGCCACGAAAGGGGAATGAAAGAGAAAAGAGAAAAGGGAACAAAATAAAAAGAATAACGAGAGAAAATGTTTCCATCCCCTATATACTATATACTATATCCCTAGTCACCAAGTTTTTTATTTTTTTATCTTTCTCTTTCTCTTTCTCTGCTCCTTTTTTCGTCCCCTTTACCACTGCTACTGCTACTGCTACTGCTACTGCTACTGGTGATGGTACTGGTGCTGGTACTGATACACTGGTACACTACCACTACATTACTTTTTCTCCTTAACATCTCACACAGAGCCAGAAACCTTGGCAATCAATAGTCCCCCTGGTGTATAGTAGTGTAGTACTCCTCAAGTTTCATCCTTCTTGTTCTTATTTTTTTTTTTTATATTTATTTTTATTTTTCCTTTGTACTTTTTTATTATTTAGTTTGCTTAATCTTTTTACGCGGTGGTGATCATTCAGCATTCTTCTCGTCTCATACCTCCTAAGACGAGAGACCAGAAAGAGAGAAAAAGAAAGAGTAAAACTAAGCTCATCTCCCTTCTTCAATCCTCTGTCCCTTAAATTATCATCATTATGACGATCACGGTTCGCCAGTGTGCTAAAGACAGCCTTTGTAACTTGGATTTTCATCAAAGATTACCTCGATCTGCCCTTATTCCTTTTATTTCTTCATTCTTCCACTATTAATTCTTTTATCATTCGGCAATAGTAATAGTAATAATAATAATAATAATAATAATAATAATAATTATTATTATTATTATTATTATAATAATCCAGTTGGGTTGAAGCAGTTAAACTTGAAGAGCGTCAGAAGCAGTGATTATCCTGGAAACAAAACAGATATAAGCATCACGTTTAAACTTTTAAGCCAGGTCAGTATAGTAACAACTTAGTCTCTGAGCCATTAACCAACTGAGACAACAGAGCAAGTGAGAAGGATTCCAGGGAATCTTTACCCGAGAGAAGAAAATTCCACGCAGACTAGAAGCAGTAGCAGCATCAACAGTAAAGTTACTGTACCGAATAACTTAAAAAGTTACTACAGGAGCAGCTCTCCTGCTCTTACTCTTCTCTTAAACTCCTCAGCTTGATATTCATCCACTTGGTACTGGTACAGCATCAGTATAGGGTTATTCACCAGCAGTAGGAGCAGAACCAGCAAATCCACCGTATAGTACCAGCAACAGCTCTCCCTCATTTTCTATCCTTCTCGCTCACCTATACCAAGTTAAACTCGAGATTATATGTATAGGTACCTTATTCTTGTCTTCCATTCTATTCTATCGTGCAACGTGTGCCAACCAACGTCAGTAATAATTTCTCCGCCTCTATCTCAGCTCTCTTCTCGCTCTTTCTTCCGAGTAACCATTCTCCTCCCCTTCATATATATCTGTGTAATGTACGGTTCATTCGCCAAGAATAATCATTGCAGATATGACTAACAGACAAGAACACTACACTTTTTTTATTACCAAATTTTTCACGTCTTGTTACATATTTATATTTTTAGTCTCTTGCTCTTGCTCTTATTCCTCCATTTTGTTATTTTATCTTCTTCCATTAGTATTAACATGTAATTATTTTATCATCTTTTTCATAACTTTGTTTGAACAGTTTTAATTATTCAATAAATTAAATTAACCAGAGCGAGGTAATTGGATACTTATTTTAAGCCGATGATGTTTAGTATTTTTTATAAATTGTTTGCAGATAAAATAACTGCTGTGGATGACACTCATAGTTGTCAATTTTATTATTTTAATTGTAAGGACTACGAGATTTAATCCCATAAATATTCACAATCTACTTGTGATTTATTCATTTTATCTTATTGATTATTAAATTATGGATGGTAATTTTTAAGAGGTACTTTATCATGATAGAAAATATATTTCTGTCAAAAATGGTTAGTGATTTAATTTTACTAATTTTTATAGATGAAATATATTTTTTTTTTTTTTTTTTGCAGAGAATAAATTAAAGTAATATGAAAAATTATTAAACTTACGCAGACAGCCGTGTGGTCCCATGTCTTTCCCGTTCTGTAACAAAAAAAAATAAAAATTTATTTAATGACAATAATAAAATAATAAAACCTGTTGCAATGAATGTGTAACAAATTATAAAACAAAAGTAAAAGACGATTGAAGATTGTTTAAGAGAACAATGTGTAAAAAAAGTGCTGTAAATCCTGAGATCACGATCGGAAGTAATGTTTCTGAGAGAAGCATCCTCATTTGAGGTATTTTCGTCACGTAGAAACTCGTTGAAAGAAAATAAAAGGAAAAAGTAACCCGTACTGGCACGGGCACGGGCTCGCCAGATGAAAAGAAATAAAAGTACCGAGCACGTGAGCGAATCGTGCGGTTAAAACCCATTAAATATATGGTAATTTTATAAAAACAATCCTTTGATTGTAGACATAAATTATTAACTGAATCATCACCCAGATGAATTGGTGATTCATATATATATATATATATATATATTTCTTTTAATCATTATATTATTTGCAGGAAATTTTTCAGAGACCCAAATATGAATTTATGTCTTGAAAGTCGCGCAGCTGCCCAGAAGAATAGGCCAGCTGTTAGCTAATGTGTCTGTCTATATGTGTTTAAGTATTTTCTAAGTATGGGTATGTAGTTTATATGTAGTTATATGTATGCACGGTGTACAGTGCCCAGGTATATCATAAAACACTCAGCTCTCGGTTGTTCTCTTACGTACAAACTTTTATTTATAATAGGGTATATACACTAATGTTATGTGGAGGCTCCCGGTATGGAAAGGGAATTCGAGCACCTGGATGGCTACACAAAGAACAATCTAATTCTAATTCCTTATAAATAACAATAATAATTTTTAATATCAAAATTTTATTTTTTATCATCAAGTTAATTAAACATTAATCTAAAATCAGAGGCTAAATAATAACATGGTAAAATTACCAATCAAGATAATGGATAATGAGTTGTTTATTGTTTACACGCGTAATTAACCGTAAATCAGCGGGAAATTAGGGGAGAATAATGACGAAGCTTAATATTTTTGAGTAAGCAGAAATAAAAGTGGTGGCCATTTGCCAGATCGGTGAATTTGTTCTTCCACAGTGAGACCGGAGTCTACTAAATCTAGTATTTTAGTCACGTACGCCAAGGGTCTTGCCAGTATAAGTATAAGCGAATAAGCGGAAGAGAAGCGGATGGTTTTACCGTTCGACGAGCTGAGAGTACAGCGTTCTGTAGTTATTGAACAATATAAGCGTATATTCTTCCAATATTATCAAAGAAGATATGCCCTGGGTTGTTAGGTGAAGCTACACCAATATTAATACAATCTTCAATAATATCGTAACTTTTGTCAATTATCCTCAAGATCATTGACATCCTATATATAATATAACTATGATTAGGTCCTCTGACTTGGATAACTGATCGACAGTTAACTGATAGTATAAAGCAATGCAGAGAAGTTTATACAAATCCCCTGAGCACTCACGCAACTAAACCCGTCCCATTGAGCTCCCGGTTTATATCTTGCTCTTGCACACGTGCACTCAAGTGTCATTCCATGGCTCGGATGATTTTACACTAAAATACTCGACCTTATAACACTATCGATGTAACTTTCCTTGTAACATTATATCAAATAACAAAAAAATAAATCACCTGACACGAGAAGATAGTTGACAACGCTCCGGAGTACTTCAAACTTACTGTACATATCCAGTAGCAGCAATTTTTGTTGTTTTTTACAAAATCACATGTCAGTAATTTACAATTAAACTGGTGAATTTAATTAATTAAAAGAAGAAATGGTTGATTTATCTTTGCTGGGTGAGAAATGGTGTAATCGCATAGACGGATGTTGGGTAACTGCGGAACCGGCGAACAGACCAGGGAACCCCATGGCAATGGCATGGCATGGCTTGTAGCTTATAGTTTTACCCGCGTGCACGATCAACAGTGACGCGGCGTCCCAGAGGAAGGGAGGGGTTATCTCTCTTTCAGGGGGACCCTAAAAAATATCCAATACAGCGTACAACATACATATATAACATGATCGTCAAGTCGTTGAGCTTCACCTGCGTATTAAGTATAAATAAGGTCGTCACTATATATATATATATATATTTCAGCGTGTATCTCTCCCCTCTTTCAGGCCTAGCATGAGTGTTATTTTTTCCCTACGACAAACTATTGATATCTTTAATAATTCAGTAAGTAGTTTAATATTAATTGACAATTTTTTATATTTAGGTTAACTCGAATCTGGGACACGCTCCACCTGCATACACTTGCAGAGATGGATCAATTTTGATAATTCAGAGCACCTTTGAGTGCTGGAGATATTATACGGCTCATATCTTCTCTGTCTGCCAGAAAAAGAAGAAGGGGAGGCACAAGAAGGCATAAAGGAGGCGGACAGGCAAAAAGACCGGGTGGCGTGTGCCAGCCGGTTCCGCACCCGTTGCCCATCCTCCTGTTATTTTTTATTTTTTCTCAACTTTCAAACAGCTGCATCTGTGACAACCTCTTCTTGCCAGTCACTCCGAGTCTTACACATTTATTTTCATTTACTTGTAGACTTTTATATTACGTAACACTGCAATTACACTTTCAATTAATCGTTTCAGACGGTGATAAAAAATAATATAATTTTTGTCAGGATTGAAATTTACAAAAAATAACATTGGAAATTGATAGCTTGGTGAATTGGTGTTCTGCAGAGACAAGCTCGCATGACCAACAACTAACCACCGCACAAGACTAGTACTTTACTCAAGTTGACCTAGGAAGTAGGTCGCGTGCAGTTACTTGTTGGTATGCATGTGGATTAAGACATGTAAGAGCCATCGATGGACTTAAAACATCAACATTGTTTGACCTTGAACTAGCCTAGTCATTGGGTCAGGGACATTTTTATTAAAACACATTCAGAACAACAACAGCAACATAACAAATTGTTACTTAAAGACAGAAAGGAAGGATCGAGATGAAGAAAAGTTTTAGGTAAAGTTATTTTTGATTCTTGAGCTTGGAACTGATGAAACATTTGTTGTCTACATTAATATTTATATCTGGAGCAAGTTATAGGTCAAGGAAAAGATGGATTGTGCTGAGCGTAGAGGGAAGCTTAATATTTAACGAATAGAAAGAAAAAGTAAACAAAAAAGTGTAGCAAGTTGATAAGCTGCCGAAGATTATCAACGGAAAGATGAGTTGAAGGATCCAGTGTATAAACCTCTACCTCTGGTTACTGCTACGGGGAAAACTCGATAGTCTACAAGTTTCACGTTGAGAGTTTAAACTGACGGTTAAGTTTCTGGACGGTGGATTATTGCACTTGATAAACTCATCACTTATTCAAGCGCCACCCAAACGAAAGGAAAAGTCTGATTCAATTTTTGTGAAAAGAATAGAAAATAAATATCTTCTCTGGAGTTTGTTCCAGATCGATTTTAATAACGATTGACGGATAAATTAAATTCCATTAAATTTTAGAGCCATTTTAACTGCAGAAAGGTTTTAACGTAATGAATTTTTTATTACCCGTAAATTTATATGAGTCTTGTCTGACTATTTTGACAACGAAATATTTCAAAACTAAAAATGATATCACAAACTTTTATAAAGACATTACTTATTGTTAACAGTTTTCTTTGTTTACCGAGTACTTATGAATATAAATATTAAATCCGCGGTAAAGTATTATGTATTTCTTCTCTCTAAACTTTAACATGATTTATTATCTTTAAAAAGCACTGCAGTGGTGATTAAAATTTAAATTTAAATAAATAATAAAAATTCAATCATCTTCATATTATTATTATTATTATTATTTAATGAAAAGTTAATTCAGTGTTTCGTGTAAATTCATAAAGTTTTATAAAACTCCAGGTAGTTTTATGCAAATGAAATGTAATTCTGAAATGATGATAATTAAAGTTGATAAATTAGAATTTGAGAATTAATAAATGAGCGAATAGCTTTACTCTAGTGTAATTGTACATTGTGTATGTATGTAATACGAGTACATACTGTAAAGTAAGAAGCACATACAGGAGGAAGAGGAGGTAAGTAACTGTATAGTATGCCCGAAAGCACCAGAGTGAGCTGAAGGGTGTTTTAATCATGTTAAGTAACTTGTACAGCAATGCACTTGTACTCGCTCGTGTGTGTGTGTGTGTGTGTGTGTGTGTGTGTGTGTGTGTGTACACACAACATGGCACGGGTTAAAACCGAGTGCTGCTTTGAACAGGTGGAAGAAGTCAACCAAGAGAAATATAAGTATAATATAAACGAGTAGCAGCTCCTATTTATTTTTTACTTCATCTATCTTTTCCATCCCCTTGACTCGTATAAATTTTATGAGATTACGTGCCACTGCTTCTACTGTTATATATATACTTCTGCTGCATCTACCAGAGTGATACTACCAAGGTACTAACGTTGATCGAGAGTAATTCGGGGGAATTTAGTGTCGCCAGTTAAATAATCATCATTCATCCCAAACTACCTCTAAATGTTTCTTCAGTTAGTGATCCGTGACTGACGATTTTATGCGCAATCAACGGCTAATCAATTTATGTTATTTAATACTGTATAAACGGATTAAATGTCAGAGACCTAGAACACTTATTAATTATTTTTTTGATTTTATAAAGAAATTATTATCTAAATCTTCGGAAAATAATTGAATTTATATTTTGTTTTTCCAACTGTAAATTGATAGTTTTATTTTGTGTAGAGTTTAGTTGGTGATGAAGCAAATAGGTCGACCACGTTTACTCTTCTCCAGTCTCAGCTTACTCCTCATCTATCCCTTCTACTTTCCACTGGGGTATCGTTCACCAAAATCGATATTCGATATTTAATTTCAGCTACCTAAACTATCACTTCGGTGTATACATATATGTTTCCGACTTTTGTGGATCAAAAAAAAAAAATAAAAAACAAAGCTTCTGTCGCTCATCCTCTTTGGCTTTTGAAACTATGCTATTTTTTTTTTTTTTAATTTATCCCATTGTTGCGTACAAGATGAAAAGATTCGAATCGACACTGGTAATCTGCCTGTATGTTTTAAAATCATTCCAATTTACTCTTAATAGTTACACATTCACTGTCAATTGAAAGACTTTAAATGGGGAAAAAAAAGAGAAAAAAAAAATAAAATAAAATTAAATATTTATAACTTACGTGGTGGCTTGACAGGTTCAGATGGTTTCTCCGTTAACTGTAACTGCAAAATGAGAAGAGAATTAATTAATAAATCTTTTAATTACCAATTGAATTATTAAATTAGTACAAGTTATTTAATTAACCACATGCTTGGTTGTAAAGAATAAAAAAAAAAAAAAAAAAACATGAAATAAAAAATAATAAAGACTAGATTGACCTTGATAAAAATTCTTTCTTTCTGCCTCAATTAAAATCAGTTTAGCGAGCCCCAAGTTCCCCCATTTTAAAATAAACGATCGCTAATTCATGCCCAAGGCTTATGAATATTTCTTATAATCTTTAACAAACAGGGTAAAGAGGGGAAAAATAAAGAGATCCGTTTCAATGTGTAACACCCCTTAAATTACAGCCACGCTTTATATCTACTTTTACTGTATGGTATTTATAACATGTCATTGGGGTATAATAATTTATTGCATTACTCTGTTTATAACGATAAATACTTTTTGTCCCCTTTACATTATATGATTAATATTATACTGCATTATATTATATATTTTATTATATTAGTTTTCAGTATTTACACAATGTTATATAATGAAGGTTAATAAATGCACTAAAGAATGTATGTTGAAAGTAATATAACTGAGGGGAATATTTACATAATACTGTTTATTTTATTATTTACCTCGGATTTATTATTCCAAAACAAACTGATGATAATTATTACTAATTTAATTTCTCTAATAAACTTGTTTAAATATGCACGCGAAATTTTATTTTAAAACTGTGATACCCGTAAACTCTGTTATTATTAATGATATTGCTCTTCTATGTTGTTGTTATTATTGTTGTTAATAGTTCCACGGGTATTAAATACAATAATAACAAAAATAAGAAAGTTTAGCTTATATACCTTGGCCAGTACAGGGTTGAATTCGAACTTGGATTCCGGTTCTTTTCTTGGTGTCTGTGCAATTGCTGAAAGTGGTATGGGCGGCATCGTCATTTCCTGAAACGACAAAGAAACATAATGAAAGTGTTTACAACTATACAATTTTATTATGTATTGAAAAACCCACTGTTGTTATTATTATTATTATTATTATTATTATTATTATTATTATTATTATTGTCATCATCATCATCATTAAATAATTGCTAGGAACAATAAATATAATACAAATATATTAAGTGGATTCAAATCGTAAGAATTGCATAAAAAACTTTTATAATAATAGTTTATTAAAAATAAATTCAGCATGTAATTTTTCTTTTATTGCACAATTATTTAGATTTTATCTAACTGGATTATTTTATTAAATAGATCTATCGCCGATAAATTTATAAATAATAAATAGTAAAACTCATAAGTTTTTAATCCGACATTGCGAAACTTCCAAGACATAAAAAATTGATAGACTTGAAAAAAAAACTGCTGACAGTTATGTCGATTATTTATTTATTTCTATCGACTTTTATTGGTAAGTTGCCTTATAAATGATTTATTTATCATCTTCAAGTATGACTATTTAATTTGTAACTATTGAATTGTAATCTTTATCAATTGAGGTTTAATTTTGTTTACCAGTGATAAGAGAGCGGTGCTGATAAAATTAATCAATGCATAAATTGAAATAATTAATGAATGTAATTAATAATCCTAGAAATGTAGATTGAAAAATAGATGAAAATAATTTCCAGAATAACTTTAAATTATTTAAAAGGAGAAAATAGTTACGGAGATATAAATACTTTTGGAAATTATTTTAATTGTCAATAATGGGCAGCTAACTACTACCTGTACACACGTGGTCAAACAGGTGAGTTTAAATACTGAGCACATAATACACGTGCATGGTGTAATTATGCTAAGCACGCGAAAACCCGTATCACACCCGTTACGAGTTAAGTTGAGATACCCGAGGAGATCTGAGTTGAGAATACAGCCAATTGTCAGGTGTTGGTCTTTTTTAGTTTCTTTGTAGCTGAACCGCAATCTGGCGTTCTGTCGCACATTGTCTTCTTTCTGTTGAGCATTTGTTGCATTATTATCTACCGGGTAGAGTATGTTGTGTCTCGGGTTAATACTCAAGTTAACTAAAAGACCAGCTAGAGGAGAATATAAGAGAGCAAGAGAACAAAAGTGGCTCTTGGGCTACTGTACCGCGATTAACGCGAGTCATAATATAATGGAGAGTACAGTAATATAATAATAATAACAATAGTAGTAGACATGACGACATATTTCAACTTGACTCAATCTTATGGCAGCCTTCATGATGATTAATGGAATTAGATGACTCGCGAATTATTAAAATAGTAAAACCCACTTGGTGTTAAGAGTTTACTAGTTGTAAACATGTTGATGATAACTAAATAAATTGAAATTGAAATATAATATATCTACGCTGTTGACTATGCAATTACAATTTGATTTTGTGCCACAATGTTAACAAACAATTTAAATATTATTATTATTATTATTATTATTATTATTATTAATATGATCAGAGAATAGCCAGAAGCACATAAATATATTGTTACTAGAGTAATTCATTAAAATAGAGCTCAATCAGTGAGTCATTAAATGATTATAGCAAATGATCAGAGCTGGTAGGATTTATTGAATCAACGCCTGGCAGACAATACGGGAAATATTTTTAGCAGTCGGGATCTGACGGGTCTTTGGATGATGGTGAAGCGCAATTAGCAGTAGCATTTGCCATGCCTACCGGCGTCACAACCCGTATTTTCCCACGGACAGCCGTGAGAATAATTCATGCTCTACGCTCGGGCGAGTGTGCGTTCCTACCAGCGCAGTCGCATCCGTTCCTCTTCGTCTCTACCACCGATTTGTTCCGCTTGTTCCGGAACTGAATGACCTATGTTAAATATTATACAATGTACAATAACATCTTTCGCTTTACCGTATTTAACATCTCGGCTGTCTGTGTTATCAATTAATAAAACTGACACTGACAATTAAAATTTGACCATTATTTTTTTTTTTTTTTGTTTTACGTAATCTTTCGCGGATGGTGAGCAGACAAAATGGATTAATTTATTTTAGTAGAGAAAAAATGATTAAAAAATAAAGCAAATATCAAAAATGATTTCAACCTTGATGCGTCATCTCACGGTCACTGATACAGTTGTATATAAACTACTGGTTAGGCATTATTATATTTATTATATTATATTGTATTGTGTAGGATGCTCAAGTGTAAAATGAATCATAGAGAGATCGGGTAGTATTGCTGCCAACTTGCCATTACAAATAACCACCGACGAATAATTCGTTTAGTTCGGATACAGCGTTGTGAGCAGAGGGCTAAAAAAATTACTAGCGTGACTCATCGTCGTACAAGTGGTCTCTTTATGCGATCGATAAACTCGTACGCTCTCCCTATTCTCTTCTATTGTATATTCTATTGTATTTTTGGCTTTATGCACAAGCTTAAAAGCCCACTTCTCAATACAATAATAATAATAATAATAATAATAATAATAATAATAATAATAATAATAATAATAATAATAACAATATGTATTAAATCCCTTGCCGAAAAGTAAATACACTGAGTAACTACCTTGAGGATGTTTTCCAAATCCGCTGGATCGGATCCATGTCTTACTCCCTGAAAATAAAAATTAAACGAGTGATTAGACATTTGAGCCAAGATAAATGTACCATTATATTAAATTAAGTGGTATTATATCGATTGTATGAAAGCAGGAAATGTATTTATATTTATGAGATGAATGAAAGTGAGAGATAAAGGAAATAAAAGAGAAAATAAAGTACTCACGTTGTCAAGAGGTAACCTTGGGAGTCTGGAAGCAGCTGTGTGAATTCTGCCCAAATTACCGGAATTACCGGGGGCAGGAGGACAATTACTTCCGGAAGAGGTTAGACCACCGCTGTTTCCGCTCGAATTGGCATTTGCGATTGACGAAGGTGGACCCTTTGCGGGAAGGATACCGTGGCTCCTGTGATCGTTGCTACTACCACCGTGTTTAACCGGTTGTCCTGGGTAGCCACCCCGACCGCCGTAAGGTGGTTTCCCATCCGCGGGTTTTATAAAACCACCGCGTTGGGAGGTATGGCTCAAATTTGCCGAGTTAGAGGATGCTGCCGTTGTTGTTGTTGTTGTTGTCCCAGACGACGACGACGACGATGATGATGATGATGATGATGATGATGATGATGATGCTGATGAGGATGTTCGTGGACCATTACCACCGGGTTTTTTAAATTCTTGGGAAGACGGCGAACTCCTGCAATTGTTACTCGAAGACAGCCGTGTGGATGCGCTCAACGCCGGCGCTGGACTAGCTGGTACCCCTTCAATTCCTATCAGTCTCTTTGGCTCGTCCAGCAGATGCTTCACCAGGGAGTAGTTGCCGAGCTTGGATTGAATCTGCTGTGTTGTTCGGTCTTGCGCGTCTGGACTCACCTGTAAACAATTTTTTTTTTTTTTTTTTTTTATTGCTTTTAATTCGAAAAAAAACAATAAGAATAATCTTGATCTTAATAATGATAATAGTGATGGAGATGAATAAGATAATGGCTAAGGACTTTTGTCGGTGATAAAAAAAATCCGTAAATTAGCAAAAACAAACTTTCTAAAGATCTACAAGACCTTGGACAATAATTTAGACGACGCAACGTTGGGACTATCTTGTGTCTGAGTTTTCACACACTCGAAACTTAATTTGCTGACGGTACATGTGTATATAAATGTTAATGTAAACAGGTATTTGTATTTGTACTTGAAGAACGATCAAATAGCTGAGGATATTACCAAAACTAGAGGGAGGGATGAATGACCAGGTCAGGGTTTTCATGTTCGTCACGACCTCGCCTAACCTCACCTTACTTCACCTTCTCATTAAATCTTGTCTGTACCTGCGAATATCTATTTATCTTAATTTATCATATCCAGTAGAACAATCAAAAATTAAATTAAATAATAATGATTTTATTTTGCCTAGGATTTACTAATAAACAGATTTAGTGCTGAAACGATAAACGTTATCGATAAAACAATCATAATTAATCAAGAGTTTATATCAAAGTCTTTGAAGATTACATTATTATAATGGAGCGGTGTATAGAGTTGAGGTTGTTCCAAAGAGAACGGGATACTGTAGATCTACACAATATACAATTGTTACTGGATGAGAAGAATCAATTAGCGTTTCATTAGCTGTTCAAATGCTCAATTTACCAATACAAATAATTAACCAGTATTTTTTTATTACATAATTATATTTTTATTGTCTACACCCGATAAAATCATCCTAATAAATAAATAAAAACTGTGTACAATATATGGTAATGTAAAAAAAATCTTTGTGAATTTAAAAGAAAAAATGTAAAGCCAAGGTTATTGATGTATAAAATAAAAAAATAATACTCCTCTTAACCTCGATAAGTCTCACTTGTGGCTTTTGGACTGTAAACATATCGCGGGAATCCACAAATAATGACCGAGCATTATATGGTATTAAGACGATTAAAAAAGTGGAAAAAAAAAAAAAAAAAAAATAAACTAAAAAAAAAATGTGCGCACGCAACTCTCTAGTAGATACTTTTAGCCACCGGCAGACTGGAATAAACTTGTGATATTAATCAGCAAGAATATCACCGACCAAACCGTTGAAACTCATCCAGACTATCTAACCGACTCTCTTACTACTCACTATTCTATTTCAGTGAATTATTAAAATAAATTATTAGATTTTTCCACAACTCAGCAAAGATTAAGCTTAAGTAATTGTTATGATATCTCTATAATTCCGTAATGGAATTATTTAACGATTAAAAAATCACATAAAAAGTGTTACGCAATATTGACTTTATAAACATTGAATTCTAAATATAGTTATGCATATAATATTATAATATGTGAGAACTGTCGTGTTTATTACACGACGCTAAATAGAAGGTATCGCATCGATTTCGCGCTTGTGATGCACACGTTGCAAAGGAGCCAGATGTGCTGGAGAGATTAATTAATCCTGTCCCTTGGCACGGCTCCACGTACATATACATATACATATATTTACTATAGATACGAATAAACCGACAAACGTCGAGCCCAAAGAAGTTAACGGAGATAGACAGACTCAGCAGGATTTGCAGCATTTGTGTCTATCAGTGTGTGTATTTTCAATACACACATCAATTGATTCATATACTTTTAAATAAAAAAAAAGGGCCCTCGGTAATTCTCTCTTATGTATTTTAATTCTCTCAACTCTCAACTGCCGGCACTTGCTTTATGTATTAATCCAATGCAGTTATATTAAATCTCGGGATTCCTTTTGGTCTATCAAGCATCCTATTAAATGCACCAGCATGTCTAGACACATCAGACAGATTTCATGTATCTCATCAGCAAATCCAAAAGCTTTGACTTTGTTTACTTTATTTACGGATAAGTCTAAATAAAATAAAATTTAATAAATAAATAAATAAATAAATAAATAAATAAATAAAAAGGGCTGAGTATGAATAAATGGTCACCTTCTCGAGAATTACCGCTCGTCTCGTCAAGCTTAAACCAGCGCAGGTATTATCCGCCTGCCCTTTCACACACCGGTATTGATTTCAACCCCTCCTGAAGCTAGCTCATCGCGGGAGCCAGTGAATAAGAGAGCAAGCCCAACGGAGAAAGAGAATGAAAAATAGAGCAAAAAAATATTATTTTTCTCCGCGTTAGAAGTGTATAGTTGGATTGTCACGACGTCAACCCTGAACACCATTCTTCTCATTTCTCTCGCCGTTTGCGCACCTGTATATGTATACTTATTTTTTACTTATTATTACTGTCTGGGTCTTTCCATCGCACATACACTCAACTCCTCTGCATTAAATCCTTTACTTATTATTTTCTCAGCATTTATTGTTATTATGTGCTTTTAAAAGTCTGTTTGAACCTTTAAACTCTTAAGAGTTATGTTATATTATGTAGATATCAAAGTGACTGCTTCGGATATTTTTCCCTCTACTGTCTTTACTTGAATAAAAAAAATAAAAAAAAAAAAAAATAATATATATATATATATATATATAATTATTTTAACGCTTTGACTTTTTAATGGCCGGTGTGACAAATTTATGAAATACAAATAAAAATATAAATTTTTTTTTTACACTTTATATTTGTTGTTTGAAAACAACAAACACAAAGTTTTATTTAAACGAGGATAATTATTTTTAAAAAGAAGACTATATTGAAATAAAATATGAGAATAATATTTTCGTTAATTTAGATTATTGATGTCGATGTGACATAATAATAAATTTATAGTTGCGCATGCTCCGAAAGTAAATATACAAGACACACAAGTAGACAAGGTTGTCCTTAAAATTCATCGAGTGACGTATTGCGATCGCGGATGTCGTGAGCCGTGCTGGATATCGAGGAGGTGAGGGATTTGAATTATGCAACGTCATATTGCAAGAGAAACTACGACTGTACTGCAAGTTTACAAAACATGCCGTCAATACGCAAAAAAGTATTAGCAATAGTTAATGGGAAATAAATAAAACCTTCATTAAAAAAAAAAAATTTACACGTGCAAATATTTTTAGTAAAAAATTAAAACAATTATTTAATACTGAAAGACTTATCGATATTTTTATTTAAACCCGTTTCAATAATTATTACTGTCATTATCATCTGAGAGACTTATTGTCCGTTTTGACAACCTCTGAGGAGTGGTCAAGGTTCTCAATCAACGGAAATAAGTAAAGTGCGCTCTGCAATGAGACCTTGGATTAGACCTCATAAGGTGATTTATTCAACCGTTATATTCACTTCTCTACTTATTCACTCTCGATAATGTAATAATGATAAATAAAAATTAATAGCCGGAATTTGTGGGCTGGTTTAAATATAATAATTGAAAATTGAAACATTACAGACATTACACACGGAAAAACTTTTAAATTCTTTTATAATAACGTTATCTCTCACCGATTGGTTTATCCAGATATTAAAAGTCTATAAATATATATCTTTTGAAATCGTAAAACCGTCAACATGTAATTAAATTTAATAACTCACGCGGAATTTTATAACATATCGGGGTTTTTAAAAACATAAAGTATGTGTAGAGTGTGTCAGTTATTAAAAAACAAATATAAAAATTGATAAAGAATTCTTATCATCATTCACGCCTATCTAAACTCGACCTCAAGATATAATACAATTAAATTAAATATAAAATAATATATTAAGATTATTCTATACTCATTATTTTATTATTTTGTACTTGGAATAAAATTTTTTAATTTTGACTTTTTAATTTACAATGGAAGGGGGCAACAATCTGTTACTTTGTATACAATATTTACCGCGAAATAAATATAGTACAAATTACTGCGGTAAATTCTCCCTCAATAGCGATATTTAAATTCTCTTTATTTTATTTTATTTTATTTTTTTATTCTATTTACTGCGAGGTACATTACATGTATATGCATTCGCGCTTACCTCAATATAAATAGACTTGAACCTACACAAGTTATTTATAAAATAAAATCAAGAGTGTAAAAAGTCAGCCCCTTTCTTTAAAACTACTTGAAGAAAATTGAAAAGAATTTGAATTATTTAAATTATTAAGACGAAAGAATATTTAATATTTAATTTGTGGAATGAATGTCGAAAATATATTAAAGCTATTCAAAGTTAACTTTTAATAAGAGGTGAAGAATAAAGTTAATGACTCGTTAAATTAAAAGAGGTTAAGAAACTTGAGTGACACCTGTTGAATGACGACTCGATCGAAATCGATTAATTAAAAAATCACTCAGTTGGAGTTACAGAGGTGTGAATTAAATGAGAATAATATTGTAATTTATATTACACGAGCAGAGATGAGAGATAAAAAATGAGAAGAGTAAGAGTCTGCGGTCGGAGAACAATCAACAATGTCTGCATTGTAGTAACCTCTCAGTGGCGAGTAGAGCAAGAGCTAAGTGAAAGTTTATTAAATCGAGCGTAAGTAACAACAAGTGTGTTTGTTGTATTATCTGCTTATCAAGATATTGTTGATGATGATGATGATGATGATGTGAAAATTATTATGATGAGTTGGTGATGACAATTTACCTTGACAGGGGCTCGAAAGAGCGCGGCTGATGAAGTCACGTGGGAATTAACGGAATGATGGCCCTGATTGTGAGGGTGCCGGGTCTCTGGACCTCCAACTGCCGCTGCCTGTTCCGCCTGGACCGACATCGCCGCGCGTGCCTGCCGCTCACGCTCTCGAAGCCGGTCCCGGTCCACGCTGTAACACACAAATTAATATTCTATATAGTCATGCTCTGCTAATCTCTATTTTATTATTAAATATCTATTACATATTATTGATTAATTATTGGGATAATATATTGATAAAAAAATTTTAATTGCAATTTATAATTTGGTGAATCAAAACATTTAATTGTAAACAACAACTTTGTTTTGATTTATTATGCAATTAAACGTCAAAGTTGGTATTTTTCGAGATTTCTCTGTAAACGACCTGTACGATCGAGTGATCATGAGATCGACAAGCATAGACTCAGGTCGGGTTCGACACTGACATACTGACACAGTTGTAACGTCACTCGTGCATATTACCACCAACATTGTTCCCTCAAATTTGAATTGTAATTATTCATTTTTCCATCAAATAAAACTAGGCGGTGAAATTTTAATTTTTAAAATAACAATTCAGTTTAATTAAAAACTATTAATATTCCTGCATATCGCTCAATGAAAGTAATTTGTTAGCCTGTTTCAATGTCATTTAAAGCAGTTATAGCTTCAGCTTAGTTTTTATACTGGTGTTGGAGCAAAAAAACTATTTAAAAAAACTCGGGTATCAAATTTAACTGGCGTTTAGTTATTTTTGAGCTATTGAATAAAATACTAGACTAAAGAAAAATGTTTTTACAAATAAATGTTGAGTAAAAAGTTAATTTGACTTGCAGTGATGGATTTAAGAGAAAAAATTTAGAATGAAGAAATGTATTTTTAAATAATTTTTTTTGCTTTATCAATTAAACGTTTTTATCAGTGTAGTAACGAGTACTACAAAGCTCTTTATTACAATCAACTTCCTCAACTCATAATTTATTATACACATAATAAATATGTAAAACAATCAGGTGAACCTGATTCCAAACAACGGAGTAACTTTTACAAGTTGACAGTGCAGTAATTAATTAATTAAGCATATACACGTCTTTTCTCCTGATATTACATTACAAAACTTGTAATCAAATAAATGTGAAACCATGATCTTATTAAATAGTTTATATCCAGTTGCAGAACTATATTAAATTTTTACAACAATCCCCGCTAATTACGTTTATATAAATTGATAAATAATAATGAAATGTAGATATTAGATGGAAACCAGTGAACCCAGCGTGACAATATAAATAATCATTTAGAGTGTTACGACGATTAACCTTCGATCGATATCTATAGCAAACTGACGAGTGTTGGCAATCGGCTTATCGCGTTTCCCCCGCAAGTGTCGTCACACTTGCACATTTAGCCGTATTCAGCTCTCTGCCTTTAACAGTATTCAACCCTACACACTGCATACTGCCCGTTACTCATTACATTCAATGTATCCACCCTCGCATTTTCTCTCTCTCTCTCTCTCTCTCTCTCTTTCTATATATAAATGTATATACATACAATTCTAGGCACGTGCTCCAACCGAACCGTCTAATGTTTAATGTCTAATGTCTTTGGCGACCGAGTTTCTTTCACGCAACTAAAATTATCTACACGCATATTCGACGGAGACTTTGATGAAAAAGAAAAAGTAAAAAAGTTTAAGCGATAGAATAAAAGTCTTTAAATACATTGATTAAAAAATAAGAAAATTCTTTAAGATATCATATCTTGATCCAAGTTATTTTTTTTTTCTTTTAATTAAAAAAAAAAAAAAAAAAAAAAAACCTTGAAAATGATCGCTTAAACTGGAAGATGATTAGTTGCACCAAGATTAAGCGGCAATTGATTAAACGTGACAATCAAGCCCACGTGCTATCGCTCTCCTCGTTAAATAAAAATTTCTCTTTGTAGATAACAAGATAACTTTATTGGTTTTTTCTGATAGCTATGTAATATTTATTTCACTGTACTCTGGTATCGGAAACGGAATAATAGAGTATTAGAGTATAAAATCTCTATAATAGAAAGAGTGAGTATGAGGCAATGATTTGTAGCAAAGGCTTATTATCGAGCTGCGCGAGGTCAGCTACCAACAACCAATCATGATGACGCATAAAAGAGCGACCTCTTTCTCCATATCTGCTTGGTAAACTTGGCAACTTGTGCATGCGTCAAAAATAAGCAAGATGCCGGATCAACTTGCACTCTAAGCTGTTTACCAGCTAGTTAACCTGTCATCGCACATCTTGTCTCTAATTTTTCCCGCAATTTTATTATATTAAATTGAAACAAATTTATTAAAACTCACCGTGGATTTAAATACGTGACGAAATTATAAATTTATCCAAATATAATCTTGACGCATCACAATCGTTTATCACAATTGTCTTACGTGACTTTGACAACAAAAGAAAGAAAACCGAGAACAAGAAGTGGGATGATGATGATGATGATGATGATGATGATAACAATAATAGCAATAAGGAGAAAGAGGTGGGGAAGGTGAAGGAGGTTGAGGCGTTTGAAGTGGGAGTATTGCTGCTGCTGCTGCTGCTGCTGCTGCTGCTGAAGACCAAGATAATAAAGATAAAGACAGAGAATAAGAATAAGTTTAACGACGAATAAGACTCGGCGAAACTTGGTACTCTCATGCTTGAACTGTTATCTATAATATCACTGGTATGCGTTATAAAAACCCTCCGGAAGCAGTAGACTGTTGAGTGTACACACTTGTGCATATGCAGCGGTTAATTAAATCCGCACACTGATACAATAACTAGCTCACGTCAACGACGTGGCCCCGAGGAAGCGGCTAATCCGGAAACGCGCGCCTCAACGCAACCACGTCGCTTTTTTTTTTTTATTTTTTTATTTAACAAGCTCAACACGTATATCACACACTAGTTTTATTCTTATTGCACATCTTTAATAATCAATCTTCGATTTAGTAAATATTTTTATTTAAATTTGTTGTTGTTTACTTAAAAAAAAATTTCCAACACACATCTCAGCAGTGTGTTTACAAAAAGGTCACCTCTGCGTTTTGCGTTTAGATAAAATAACATGTGTGTGTCTATGTGTGGTTAAAACACTTGATTACGAAAATACGACGAAAAGACACTAAAATACCCGCGTATTTACAACTAACACGCACACTGATTGATCGTAAATACGAATCATGCGCGCGTCATTAATTTTCCCCCTAGATATATATTACTAATATATATATGGACATGATACACACACACACACACACTGACTGAATGTCTGGTGATTTTATTAAAAACACCGGCTAGCTCCACTGCTCGCTCCGTTAAACTTAATCAAGTTACTGCGTGCAATTTACTAAAAAGTTTATTAAAAATACTCCAATAACAATTCATACTGCTGTTATTATTATTAATTTTACGATTGATTAAATACTTTATTTACATACATTGACATTATTCCATTATTGTCATTGAGGATTTAAAAAGTGTCAAAACAAACTGACGTTCCACAAATATCAACTGTGGCCACTTAAATTCATTGTCATTATTAATAAAATAATTTATTTTCAGGTTTTTTTTTTTTTTTTTTTTTTTTTTTTTTTACGGTTAAATAATAGAAAACTGTCACGATCCTCGGTAAGACTGGTATCCAGCGTTGGAAGCGCAACGAGGCGATTAGAGCTCAGGAGAAACTGGCACTTTCCGGTCGCGACTGAACCACGCACGTACACACTTACTCAGACAATGAGAGTGTGTATAACCAATATAACACAACATAACACACTGGTAAGCACAAACTGATATCGGTAGGTCGGTGTCGGTGTGTAGTCAGTCTCAGTTCTTCTCCTCAGAGAAAGAGAGAGAAGATACACCGTGTGCGGTGTGTGTTGGTATGGCGGCGGATCATGAGGAGGAAAAAGGTCGGAGCAGTGAGTAGAGAGCGCGACAAAGGTACTGTACTCGCTACCGCGACGGATAGGATACGATACGATACGGCCAAAAGGATGAAAAGAGAAAAGAGAAGGGAAGAGATCCTACATTATTCTGTCAGTGTGTGAGTTCAGGGGAAAACTAACCTTCATACTGATATCATACACACTTACACTTACACTGCTTTACTTGAGATTCACTCTGTCTATGAAGCTTCTCTTTCTCTCTCGCTCGACAATATAAGACCAACGTTTGAGTTGAGAAGACACACACGTGCGCGAAATAGCGACGGTGAACGTAAACGCTGACGGGGGGAGACCAAATAGGAGAGCAACTCACACATACAAGTAAAACACAAATACACTTAAAATTTGAAGAAGTAGAGGACTGTGTCTGTGTTAAGAGTGACGAGAGGGGAAAGTGGCGCGCGACCAAGCGGTGGGAGAGATTATCAAAATGGCCGCTCGACCATCACGCCGCCAGCCGCCTCGAATCGCGCGCCGCAGAAAACGTGTGGGCAAGTGAGATGAAGGTATGGATTTATTATAGTTCACCAGGAGGGAATCTGAGAAGGAAAGAGACCAGACGACGACGACGACGACGACGACGACGACGACGTTCACTGAGTATGAATATAACCTAACTCACTGTCAACGTGTATATCTATACCGGGTACGCTGGACTCGAATCTGTCGCTCCCACCACCCACTAACTTTATTTATGTTTATATGTGTTGTTACATCTACATATATCCATACCCGGGTTTATTGTAAATGGATAATGTGCTGACCGTTGCCCATGAGGACCAACAAAAGGTTTTACTGTATTTACTTTATTTACTAGAGAGGAGTGAGGACGCGTGCTGAGATAATGTTATGGCAGGATGGATTTGACATCCACACTCAATCAACAAATTGTTTCTGATCGATCCATGTAGATTTTGGAAAATTTCACACTTATGGTCAAGTTTAATCTTATTTTTCTTTCTAAGATTTTCATTCAAATAAACATTTGTGTAATAAAGCTGATCGTCATCAGTATCATCAATCTTTTTGTCGTTTAAAATAGCATATACATCAGAGGCATATCCAATGAACCCACCGGAATTCAGATAAGCTTCACCGTGATAAACTTTTGGATATTTTGAGGCCAGCGATTTATCAGGCCAGATAAATTTTTCAGCTCCAAAAACAATTCTCGCATCAAAGGTTTTAAATTTCTTTACTATTTCTTCTAATTTTGAAGAAAATATAACATCATAACTGAAAATTTTATATTGTAATTAATATTTATATTTAATTTTAAGTCAAGAATATATTTATTTACCTATCGGTAAACAAAATTATTTTCTTCTCATCATCTTTAAATTTCTTTAGCGCTTTTTTCAGTAAATTTATTTTGTATCCTCCTCCTAGGCTCTTCATATTTCCTCCTTTCCATGGTTTATCCAGACCGAGGATCATGACGTTGTTCTCAAATCCATACACACGAACTGATCTTAAATATCTCTCGAAACCATCGGTTCTATTTGAAGCTACTGTTAGTGTAAGTACGTCCAATGGATCTGCAAATAAAATGATAAAAAATAATTTTATTAAAATAATAAAAATTACATTGTAACATGAAAATTATTAACAATTTGTTGGGATAACGACAAGAAATAATGACAGAGCATTTTAAAATATTATTTCTACTCTGATTCGTGCAAGATTGCGGCACACGTGATAAATCTTCAAGTAAAAAAGTAGCACCCAGAGACTATACTACGAATGACCGCACAGCATTCGTTAAGCGCGCGGTTTCCTCCAACGTTACATGTTTATTTTAGCTCCATATACACCAATTACTTCTCTCGGCGCTTTGATACCAAAAGATAAAACACGTAAATAATTTCTCGATCATTCTCTGATATAATTTTACTTTTTTTTTTTGTTCTATTCGTACCATTTATTATTGCGACATGAAAGTAAAAAATTAGTAAGAGCTGTAATTGTAAAAAAAGAAATTATTTAAATAAATTTCTAATTCATGCTCAATCAATCGAACATTTATGATAAAAAACATTTTACGGTTTACTGATTAAATAAAAAAAAAATTATTAATGTTTCATTGAACTCTGAAATTTAAGGAGGTCCTTTATTAATATTAAAATAATAAAATAAAATTATTGTGTCTCTTTTTAAAAAATTGCTAGAAAAAATAAATGTCACAAAATTATTAATGTTAAAAATGATATTTAAATAAATAATTACCAATATTATCAGAAACTGTCATCCGGACCAGGAAGCAGTTAATGCTGATAAAGCAAAGTATAAAAAAATGCTTCATCTTGGTAGATAAATAAAATAGCCAAAATAAAAATGTAAGTCTCTCTGTCAGCGGTTGAAGCAACACTATATACCGAGAACCAAGAACCGAGAGAAGTGACTCAAAAATCCATTGACAAGCAGAGTATCTTTATCTCGATACTTGAACCTGAACACTGGGTACAGGAGTGGAGGAATATGAGGAATAGGAGGAATACCACCAGAACATAAAATCCAGAACTAAATGAAATTTCTTTCTCCACTCTCCACTCTCTTATTTATAATTTTACCTCCTACTGCCTTTATTAAAAACATTGAATTATTTGTGTAGGGAGTTTATACTTTCATCTTAAATTATATATAAATTGTTTATTTAACGCAGCCCTCACACACTGGAGGTAAGTTATATAAACATTGATGTAGGGATACAGATGATGTGATTTTATTTTTTTTTATTTGCCTTTAAAAAAAAATAATAATTATATGAATTTAGGAGAACACGTCACTACCTACTGTAGAAAATTAATAAAATGGATATGGATAGAGGTACTTATTACCGAGTGAAAAGTCAAATAAAAAGAGAGTAAAAGTACTGTGAGAGACCTCTAGGTGTTATCTGGCCTTTGTGGTTGGTTTCTCGAGCATCATGTTCAGAAAACCAGAGAAAACACGAAATCGTTTGTAAACCTTTGGTGATGCTAAAATGATAAAATGCGGTACAAATAACACAATGTGAGTAGATAATTTTCAACAATAGTGCTTTTAATAAAGTATAAATAATTAAAAAACAATTTTATTGAATAAAACGACACAATAATTACTAACAATGTTTTAGATTTTAAGTAACAATTGAAATAAAGGTGTAAACAGCCCCAGAGTACTGCCGGTTAATAAAATTCTAACCTGCGTACGAGAAAGGTTGCTGAAATGGCGGTGGGTACAACGAAAGTTGTCCAAGTGACAAATATCGCTCCCCAAGCGACTAAAGACCAAATGCAAACTTTATTTGGTTATTTAGGCAAAATTGAAGACATTCGACTGTATCCAACAATCCGGGATGTTGCTGTTCCAGTTCAATCACGAATTTGCTACATTAAATTTCATGACCAAGGGAGCGTTGCGGTGGCCCAGCATATGACCAACACTGTATTCATTGATCGTGCACTCATAGTTATTCCTTATCAAAATGGAGATATTCCTGACGAGCAACGTGCTCTTGAGCTTACCAATAATGGTACCGTCGTTCCAGGTATTTTATTTTATTATTTTTTTTTTTTTTTTAAATTATAAATATAATATTAACACTAAATAAATAAACAATTTTAAAAATTTTAGGTCTTTACCCTTCAGAACCAAAACTTCCAGCGAATGTCGTCAATTCAATTGACGGAATTCCTCCACACCACACTATCCTGACGATAGACCCAAAGCTAGATGCCCACGGACTACCACCGTATCCGCCTTTGCCGGGTCATCTCGACAGCCGACGTATTGAAGAAATACGAAGGACACTAATTGTCGCTAATTTAGATGCTTCAGTATCAAGTGACCAATTGCTTGAATTTTTCACCAATAATAATATAGAAATAAAATATCTGCGACTATGTACTCGAGACTCAGATACTGAACATTACGCGTTAATTGAACTTAATGAACAAACACAAGTTGTACCAACTCTTATGCTTAATGGTAAAATGCTTGCCGACAAACCGATTAAATTATATCACTCGATGCAGGCGATATCCAAGCCTGAAGCCAAAAGCAACGAGGCGGCCCAAAAAGAAATCGAGGAGGCGATGTCAAGAGTCAAGGAAGCGCACAATCTTATTTCAGCTGCTATTGATCCCATGATTGGTATGCTGTCTAAGGACAAGCGAAGTCGCAGTGGGTCACGCAGCAGAAAATCAAGATCACGGTCACGAGGAAGGCGTCGCTCTAGGTCACGCAAACGTTCGCGTTCACGACACAGGAGATCCCGGTCTCGGCATCGACGGCGCTCACGATCACGCTCCAAGCGCCGGTCACGCTCCAAGGATCGGAAACGCAAGTCCCCGTCACGCAGACGCAGCACTTCACGCAGCAGAGTACGCTCAAGATCCCGCTCCAGAAGGTCCCGGTCTAAGCGATCACGATCAAGGTCCAAGGATCGAAAGAAAAAATCTTCCCCTCGCCGACGAAGTCGCTCACGATCACGCAGCAAAAGGTCCAAGTCCAAGACCAGGCGCTCCAGGTCCAAGTCTAAATCAAAGTTCTCTAAATCCAAGTACTCGGAGAAGCCTCGTGATAAGGATAGGGAAAAAGATAAGGAAAAAGATCGTGATAAAGAGAAAGATAGGGATAGACGGAGTAAGGATAAATCAGATGGCAATGGGAAAAAAGACAGCGACAGGGAGAAAGAACGGGATCGGGATAAGGACAGAGACCGCGACAGGGACAGGGACAGGGACAGGGAGAGAGATAGGGATAGGGATAAAGATCGCGAGAGGAGTGAAAAAAAATCCAGAGATAAGAAAGCTGACAAAGAGTCTAAAGAGAGATCTGATGATAAATCCTCGTCACGAAGTGGCAGTAAAGAAAAAATAGAATCCGAAAATTGAAATTAAAATTATTCATATAATTTTTTTTTTATTTCTTTTTTTAATTAATGTGCAAAATATTCCAATAATTGTTTGACATTACTTTCGTTTCCTTCTTGGAAGTGGTGGTTTTAAATTTAATTTGTCTGTTTCTTGAATCGATGGTCTGAAAATACATTTTTTTTGTTAAATATTTATTTGATATTTATAAATTATAGATTGATATTATTATTATTATTATTATTATTATGGATTATAAATAAAAAAATAATAATACCCGGGTAATGATAATGACTCTTGATTTGCGTAAGTCACTTGTGTAGCAGTATCGTCATATATGTTTTCGACTTTTATTGGCATGGTAGAAAGGCGGACTAATTTTTTTTGGACACGTTCAACTGTTGACCGACGTTTCAGTTGAAGCATCTAAAAAATAATAATATTTCAATTAATAACGTATAAAAGAAAAAATATATTTTATAAATATAATATTGTAAGTAATTATTATTATTATTATTATTATTATAAACAAACCACGTCGAAATGATTTTTTGATATCTGCTCAGACATTTTTCCCAACTCCATCGATTCATCTTTATTGTTTTTTTTTCTTGTATACTCTAACTCGAATTCTCCTATTAAATTTAGTCATTTGAAAAATAAAATTTAAGTAAAATCAACAACAGTTGTCTTTATTATATCATGAACCTTTTATATGTATCTTAACTTACGAATAAAATATTCATCGTATTGATCTAAAATATCAATACCCAAAAATACCGCCAGAGCATTTGGATATCTTAGATCCAGAATAATAACAACAGATGCCAATACAAAAGACAGCAATCCTAAAATAGAAAAAAAAAATTAATCTCATTACTATTGATTATTATTTGTATAAACAATTTTTTACCTCCACTCAACGTCAGCCAAAAAGTAGAACCAAAAGAAGTAGTAATGACATCACTTTCGAATATTATCACCAACGGAGTTGAATTTCTTACAAACAGCCAAATAACACAACTCAATATTTTAAGAGCTCCAATCAATCCAGTACAGTAAGCAGCGTATCTCGGGACTGAATGTAAAAATACATTAGCAAGTATCCACACCGGGAATGCTGTCCAGAGAGCAATGTGAGCGTACCATCCTGCTGTTCGATAATATCTACCAAATCTTATACCTTCTCCATCAATTGCTAAATGATCCACGATCCAGGTAATTGGCAATGGCAATCCTTTTCTCTGGGCTTCTCTGAGGCTTTTTTGTAAAAGTCCAGCTGTATAATTCATTTTAATATTTCATTAAAAATTTTTTTTTATATCATTAATAGTAAAATTACCATTTGGCCCAAACCCAAAGCGTCCTTGATCCCAAGTCCACAAAAATCGTTCATTGTAATTAATTACTTCTTTTTCAAGCACAGATCCTTTTTGAGCCTGACCCTGCAAAGTGATATTTACAGAACGTAGTCCAATTTTTATTCCTATTTGCGCTAAAATTTCACTTGGTTCACCCGCGCGATACGGTGTCATTGATTCTACGAAACCGACTTCCCATTCTTGTCCGTAATTTCCAACTAAAAAACACAAAAATAAATTAATTTAACTCTTTAAAAATTATTTTTTTTATACTTACCTAATATTATTACCCCAATAAAAATGCTAAAAAAAGCTTTCACAAACGTGTAAATACTCTAGAACAAAATTACTAATTAGTAATTAAATAATTAACTGAAAATAGTTTGAAAAAATACTCACTTTAGTTTTTGTATAACCCGGTATTATAAGTAAACAGCTAACAGCAAGAACAATAAAAATAAAAGTAATACTCGTTTCGACAATATCAATAGTTACCCAGGTTTTATTACTTTCATAAATCGCTGGAAAACCTTCTATTCTGCCAAATTGATAAAACCATGACATTTTTTATAATATAAATAAACCTAGTGAGATATCACAACTCAGCAAACGAAAAAGAGTGTAAGTGATGCGGCACTCAAACTTTGTGGTAAAAAGAAAAAATTTACATTATACATCAACAGTATAAATGGGTATTTCCCTAATATATATATAAAGTCATATATAATATATCGAGTTACTAATAAATTCTTATCACCAAACTCTTTCCGCTAGACTGATTGCAAACATTTGTCGCTTGAGAGAGAATTGATAAAATATTCAAATAAAAACAGCATCTGTTAATAATGTTTATATAAATTCATAACAATATTAATCAATAATATAAATATTAATATAAATCATAATAGCGTGTATATAATAATAATAATAATAATAATAATAATAATAATAATTAATAATACTCAACTATAAATAAAAAAAAATGATAAAATACAACAGAGTGCTTAAAATAAAATATTCAAACATTACTCGTGACAAGTGATGGCTTATTGTGCTTATTTCTCTTGGTATTGTGATAAAGATAAGAGTGAACACGAAGACTATTACTATTTTTATATTTGTTACCACACAATTTGCAAGTGAGACTTTCAAGTGGCCCGTGTATGTAACGTACATGAAGCTTTAAATTTTCTTTGCGTGTAAAATGTCTTAAACACCATGGACACGAGTACATGCGAACAACTTTGCCTCTTTCAACACGTAATGTTGGCCCCAGTTCCGAGACAACACGCAAAGTCGTCTCCAGGGGCAATGCACTGTGGGAGATCCCTCTTACTGTACGACGGCCCTTTGAAGACTTAGCTTGGTTGGCAGACTCCATTGATGTATCTTTTTGATTATCCTCTCCTGAATTTCATCAAAAATTTAATCATTATTTTGCTTAAACTTACTAATGATTACATTAATCATTATTTTTTACCTGGAGGTTCTTCATAATAGTCTGGATAAGATTTATCAGAGTCTAAAAGTGGTTCGTCTTCACTCGCAGCTGCTGCAGAAGTTGAACAACTGCTTCCATATGTGTAGTCCAATAGTCTTTCACTGGATTTAGAATTTTTCCGGGTCTCGGAAGTAAAGTCAAGTGGTTTTGTCGTATTGTCATTTAAATTAGACGGTAAATTATCATCAATTATTGTAGGAGGTACAGGAGATTTGATAGCAGGCTCTTGTTTGTAGTCATCATCATCATCATCATCATTACCATCATCATCGTCTTTTAATGAAGAGCTGGGAGATGAAATTTTTTCGGGTATTGGTTGAGTATTTTTTTCATGTTCTTGTAAGCTGAATTTTTCGGCAACAGATTCAACAGATACATCCAGGTCGTCGTCCATTATTTCTGTTTTCATAACATTTTCTAAATGAGTATATATGTCATCCGTATTCATTTTCTAAAATATATAAATAGTATTAGTGAATGTAAAAGATAGATAATAAAATAAATAAATAGAATAGAATAGTTACTTCATCTTTATCTTTTGTCAATCCTTTGATTTGTAATGTTTCAGCGACTTTGAGAAAATTAGTAATGTCTTCCTGCTTGATACTAACTTCTCCTTGGTACATAAAGTGAAGTATCGCTGATAAATCCCGTGAATTAACGTCTTTTAAAATAACTATAGGATGTTTACAAGTATTCCCCTGTTGACATAATTTAAATAATTTATTCAAAATAATTTATACAAACAAGGAAGGTATATTTAAAGAGTTATTTTTTGTTCAAGTCACGAATTACCTTGAATAAATCTCTAAAGTAGGTACTACATACAGACAAAATTAATTTATGAGCACGAAATATTTTTCCTTCAGCAGCCAGGGTAACATCAACTAAATGTTCATCCGTCAGCAGTGTATACAGTCCAGATGATAAATTCGAGGGGAAGCTATTCCATACCAACGAGAATTGTTCTTCAGCCATGGTACTTAACTTTGAGATCTCGAGGTTTAAGATTGATAATATGATTATTATTATTTTTTTTATTATGATAAATATAAATAAAACATTAGATTGCTAATAATTTAATATGATACTTATATAAAATTAAAAAATTAAAAAACTTTATGTTGTCACTTGGATTGTTTTGTATATTGTTGCTTATTTTTAAAAGTTCAATTTAGTAACTCATGATGAAACAATTGTGATTTAGCAATTATGGTAAATAAACAATATTTATTTGACGAGAGTGTGTATGTGTCTGTGTATTTTTTTAATGTAAGAAGATGCGATCAGTTGTGACAATCAGGTATAATGCATAACTGCATCGTGAATCATGCTCTTATACGAACATATACGAGTTTATACGACTTGTATATAAGTTATTATAAGTGTATAATGCAAAACACATTCGTGGTACATACACGAGTTGTTTTTTTTTTTTTTTTTTTTATTTTTTTCTTTATTTGTATGACAGTTACACAGTATGTATATGTTTTTTTTTTACGCATATGCGCGCTAAGTAATATTACGTTATCCCCATCTTTTGGTAGGAATACCAACTCGATTCATGGTTAAAGTTAAGTAGAAATTTTTTAATTTTTAAGTTCAATCAATTTGTATTGACTTGTTGTCTTTTAATAAATTTTAGCTATAAATATAATTAATGAACTTGGTGCCTAAAATAAAAAATATTTCTAATACTTTTACTTTATCTTTATTTATTTTAATATACACTTATCTTAATTTCTACAAGAATAATTTTTATTAATTATATAATATTAAATAAAAATTTATCATTTAGATTTTCGGATAATTTTAAATTATTTTATATATTTTAATACTCCTAAATGCAAGATTGCCTCCTAACATTAAAAAATAAAAATAATTTTTTACAGTTGTCTTTTAATTTTACTAATTGTAAATTTGACAGCTGTTTAATTTTTATAGGATTTTAATTTTTAATCCGTAAAAAAATCAGATTTTTTATACAAAAATTTTAAATAATATAATAAGCAAATTAAAATATTTTTTTATATAACATAATATAATAATAATAATAATAATAATAATAGTAAATATATTGTATTAATAATATCTTGAGTATGCAACAAAGAATCAAATTTTACATAATTTGTGATCTTACACTAATATGTTTTACAATAAAATTAATTGTACATTTATAAAGTGATAATCAAAACTTGTTTTTCTCTTTTTGACTACTCCATGGACATTTATTACGACTTTATCAATTTAAAAAATTTTTATGGCCAGTTAAGTGCATGATAAACACGCAAAAATTTCACCATCAAACATTGATCTTAACACTCACTCGTTTATTTATAAGCGACAAACAATTGTTGCATTATTTTGATACCAATTTATCAAACATCAATATCTAAGTAATTATATAATGCATAATTTCCGTGAGCGTTTAATTTTTTAATTTACCTCACATTATATAATTTGTAAAAGCTTTTGTTTGATTAATAACAATTTCAATAGCTCACTGTCTTTTTCATACTATATTTATACAATTACGTTGATATCAATCGTATATAAAATGTTTAGTAATATATGCAAATTAATATTGTTTATAGATGATTTGTATGTATGTATTTATATATTATAGTGCAATAATATATCCCAAAAATTAAATAAATGCCGTAACGCTTTTCCTAAATTTCAATATTGAGATTAGTAATAATAATAATAAAGTGGTAATTTTGATTGACTTAATAGAAAAAGAGGAGACGTTCTTGGGCACTGCCGGATAATAATTTCCATCCACGTTTGATGTTCAAATACTGAGTAATAGCACGAATGCAAATAAGAATACCTAAAATAAATAATTTATTTAAGTAAATGGTATTCATTGATTAGTAATAAATATTTTAAATTGAAATATAATTTACCAAGAGCCATTATGAGCCACCATAACCACGAGTTAGCACGGGATGCAAGATCTGTTGAATGTTTGACTATGATTGTCCATTTAGTTAGAGACAAACCGAATCCAGCAAGAGCACCATATCGAGCAGCGATTGTGTGACAGAAGCACATTGATAAGAGAAATCCAATCCAATTGAAGAATAGAGCCACTGTGAATATTTATAAAATAATAATTAGAATTAAATAATCAACAAAAGACTGGGCTCTAAGTAGACTTACATAAAAAAGCCGTGAAAAATGTAAAATCTGTTCCAAGTAATCCACTTTCTGCATCAGTTTCAGCAGTATTTGGATCTATTGCCAAAATAGTAAATGGTTGCGGTGTTGGTATAGTATCCTATAAATAAATAAATAAATAATTAATTTTATTATCATTAAAAGATTTAAAAAATAAATAAACTTACAATATTTATGTGTGGTGGAGGTGGAACTGGATTTTCTCCTTGCAGTGTTTTCTCCCTTTGAACTTCTTCATAGCTTGGTAATTTAGTAGCAAGTTCGTAAGGCGGTGGTGCTGAAAAATCTGGCTTTGGAGGTGACAGTTCATCAGCTTGATTGCGTAACTAACAAATTACCAGATAATTTTAAATTCAAATAAATAAAAAAAAAAAAAAAGAACAATTTATTTAATTAAATCAATACCGTTGCTAACAATTCTGATGGTCTATGCAATGAAACGTAGCCATGTCCTGCCTCATTAGGTATTAGTCCTTGTACAGGAATTTCACTGGACGTTGAAGTACTGCCTTGGACACCGTCACTATTTGTAGATGACTGAGAACAGTTAAATATTTTTTATTAATATGACTCATTATTTAACTCATTCATATATGTAATTTATTTAAAATATCATTAATTTATTATCACAAATCTCTATTTTAATATAATCTGTAATAATAATAATAATAATAACAAATATCGTTGTGGTAATAACAATAATCAAGTATATAGAAAAAAAAAACCAGTAGTAAGATAACATTCTAATAAATACTATAAAAATTTTAATAACAATTCAATTCACTAAGTAAGATTAAAAATATTAATATTACAGTATATATGTTATTAATTGATAAAATTTCAGTACGTACCATGTTATTAATCACAAAAGTATAATATTATTTATATCAATAAGCTGTTACACAAAAGTTTTGTTAATGTCACGCAATAAAATAAAACTGGTAAATTTTTAATATATGTGAATTTCAATACAGTAGAAAGTCTTGGCCTGTACATACAATCGATGGCTGACAGCTGGTCTCTCGTCTGTCTCGTCTCATTATCCAATTCAATATATCCACGGAATAATATAAATTATTATTTTTTCTCCTTTACCGACCTGGAATTCGCAAAAACAATTAACCTTATTTGGTAATTTTTGTTTATTATTTCTCCCGGTATTAACTACAATAACTACTTACCTTGAATTATTTTTTTAAATTATTTAATTTGCTTTTATTTAATTAAACGTCAACAACAATACAAATATATTTATTTTCAAACACATTGTTTATACGAAAATAAATACTAAAACAGTAAAATAACAACAAGGGGATTCAGTAATTGATCTACTGTCACGGGATTTACTAGCGCCACCGGAAGTTCATTTAAAAAAATAATTTTAATTTGTTATTTTTCTATTTGTTTATAAAGTAAATTAACTCAAACTATATTAAAATTGTTTATCTAAAAATGGTTATTTTATGTATCAGCTGATTTTAGTTAATTTACACAAATAAAAAAAAAATTCATTTGAAACTGACTAGTGTAGTGAAAATGGTGGGGATAGTGTAGTTGGTTGACGGAGCAATACACAAACGACGCGGTAGCAGCAGTCAGTCGCTTAGTGAACGTCTGAGAATAACAATCTGTTGTCAAAAATGTCGGAAATATTTAAACTTGGAGACCTTGTTTGGTGAGTATCAATTTTTATTTAAATTATTATATACAGTTTATTACTAAATAACTCAAGAATAATTAATTATTTAATTGTTATTTTAGGGCGAAAATGAAGGGATTTTCACCGTGGCCAGGCCGAGTAAGTACATTCAAGTCTACAAACCGTTAGCGGCAGTATTTTAAGTGTAGTGCGCGCCACGCATCATATTTTTTTTTTTCTCGTGCTCTGTTTCCACCATTTTGGCGGGAGCTCATTTTGTTAAATAACAATCACTGGTATCAGGTTATTTTTTCAATGTATACAGCAGCGGTTTATTGTTTGTTATCTTTTAACCTGAATATTTTAGTTTCTACGTGTGATAAAAGGGAGCATTTCCCGCGTCGTTGGTCACTCCCGCCACACCCGTTATTCGAATTTAAAGTGGCGCGCAGATAGCCCATTATTATAACCTAAAATTTATTCAAATTTTTTGTTCATTATTTTTAATTACTCTATAATTTTATTATTTTAATTATACAACGTGTGAAGATGATATTTTATTGTAATTTATTTTATTAAGGTTTCAAATCCACCAAAGGAGTTGAAAAAACCACCGACTGCCAAGAAAGGTCCAGTCCATTGTATATTTTTCTTTGGAACTAACAATTAGTGAGTTTTATATTTATATATTAATGAATTATTATGAAAGAATATTTATTATAATAATAAATAAATTTTTTAGCGCGTGGATAGAGGAAACTAATATCCAACCTTATCACGAATTCAAAGATAAGTTAATCAAATCTAGCAAGACTGGTGCTTTTAAAGATGCAGTTGAAGCAATCGAAGAATTCATTGCGAAAGGAGAGGTAAATATACCTAAATATTAGTCTAAAATAATTTTAATTGAACAAAATGACTATATACAGTGATTAGTTAATAAATTGTTTACTTTAATTTGTAAAATTTTTCTGTGTTAGATTTTTGACGACGGATTAGATTCAGATTCACTTTTCGATAGGCTAAAAGAGGAAACAGTTGTTCCTGAAAAGAAAATTCCAAAGATTTCAAAACCGCGAAAGGTAAGTTTAGCAACTCGGAGTTGATAAAATAGTTTACTTTTAGTATAAATGTGTTATTTTCTTGTTTATGTGGTGAATTAATGAGTTAAAAATTGAATGATGATAGGAATCAGCGCCAAAAACAAAACGAGCAGACAATAGTGCCGATAGTCGTCCAGCGAAAAAAGCCAGACGTGGGTCAAGTGCTAGCAACAGTGCTAACAACCGTGCTGGTAGTGTAAGCCCAAGGTTAATAAACCACTCACCGTCTCCACCGAGGAAATCTGGATCAACACTTCTGAACAGGCCAGCGAATATCGCTCGACCCGTAAGTTAATACTCATTTTTTATTTATTAATCATAAATCCCTTTTATTTTGTTTATTTAACAATTCACTTGTCCAATTGAAGTTTAAGATTGATTATCAATTATAATACTACTGTACTTGATTGTTGACAAGTTGTTTTTGAACAAGTGAATAGTAAGATAAATGAGAGACTAATAATTATGTTGATAGAACGAGAGATTTTTTGAGCATATAATAAAATAACAAATCAATCGTACGTTTGATTGCCTGGAGAAATCATATTCTTTGAAGCAAAATTCTCAAAAATCCAATGCTTACACTTACAAAGTATATCTGAGACTTGTGATGATAATGTCTTACATACCCGAGCAGCGAGCAGGGATTCTCATCGTCATAACATGTCAGCGCGCATGACTCGTAGTTGGCGCGTTTCTCTATCTAGTGTTTCACAACTTACTACACTAAATAACTTTTTTTTTTTTTTAACTCCTTCATACATATGTTCATTTAAATTCCGAGTTTTTTTATTTTATTTATACAAGTAGTTTATTTAATTTACAAAAACACGCTTGATAACTTATTTCTATTATTTTCCATAATTTTCTATGATAAATATTATATTAAAAAGCAAGACTGTGTGAGGTAATTGTTAAATTTTTGGCAATATTTCGGAGTACTGTATGTGCACTTACCGTGTAGACTAGTATAAGTGTCGTCAGAAATTTTCGCAAGTATTAAAAATAGTTTAATTTAAAATATCAAGCTCCAAAAGGATTAAAATACCTAAAAAATTATACTACAAAAGTAATAAACTTTTAAAAAATCTAATAATGAGAATTTAATGTTAAAAGAAAAAAAATCTTAAATTTTTAATAGAAAATATATAATTAGTGATTTAAAAAAAAAAAAAAATAATATTTTTAAGGTGACTCCTCCTATGGATGTATTAACGTTGTCGCAAACGCTGAAAGAAAAGAACATTCTGCCGTCAAATCTCAAGTTTGGCTTCCTCGGGCTTGGTATCATGGGCAGCGGAATAGTAAAGAATCTCATCAACAGCGGACACAGTGTCATAGTCTGGAATAGAACTCAAGAAAAGGTATGTGTACTTGTATATAATTCAAATAACTCTGGTTATCATTTTCTATTTTTAATATTCATAATACACCACGTGACATTGATTTCTTTCACGACAATTTATATTTTAAAATCTGACCATCTCAGGATAATAAGTCAACAAAGTTATGCTTAGGAAAATTCATATAGGAGTGTGAATGTCATAGAAAATTTGATGATACATAAATATATTGAGATTACTAGCAAATCTCGAGTTAGAAATATAATCAATACTATTTAACGGTTGATTAATTGACTGGTTGAGCCATTGAAATACGAATAATTAGGATGGGTTGAACGAAAAATAAAATTTAGAGTAATAGAACCAATATTTACAGTAAATAGTGACGTATATCATCATCAGAATACCCGTGAAGCTTTGCCGCCTCACAGTTAAAGAGCACTTACGTAATTTGAAAACATACATGACCATCATCACGTACTTCTATGACATGATGAACGATAGTTTAAGTCTTGATAATAGTCTAGTCAATCAAAAAATCTGATTTACACTTTTCAATAGTTTGTACTATTTTTTTTTATCTCCACATGAATAGATAATAATTATTATCATTTATTGATGATTAGGAAATTTAATGACGATTATATTAAATCGGCAATCGAAAATTAATTGATAAAAATATTTATTTGAGGATTGGTACTTGTTTTTCATCCTCATTGTTTTCTAATAATCACAACACAATGTTTTTGCATCTAAAATATATATTGATGATCAAATTCAATTCAATAACATTTTTTGTATATATATGTACATATTTAAAGTACAATTAAATATTAAAATTATAAATTTAATTTATTAAATTTAATAGTATATTATATAAATAATTAATAACTCTAAACTACGAAGTAGGATAATTGATAAAGGCTAATAATAAATCTTCAAAAATCTCTTGATCAATTTTTCCCATTTCAGAAGTTTATTCTCTTTTTTTCTTTACTTATACGTCTACAACATAGTTGTGGAAGATGATAATAATATCCACTAAAATTAAAGTTTATTTCAAATCTCGTTCATATTGCGATTTGATTTATTTTTTTTTTTTTCATTTTCACAATCAACGCTAATTCATAAACCAAAAATTCTTAAGAAAAATATTCGACTAGGTTTAAAATTCAGTGCTATATATAATTTGACTTTTAGTGATTTAAATATCTCTTCAAATTTTTATTTTTTTTCCATTTTCTGTCTTTTTCTAGAATTATCATAAATAATGATGATAGTAATAGTGTGAATTTCATTTTAATATTAATTTAAATTAATATAATATTAATTCTCACATTTAATGATACGTCTTGGCCATTTATATGGTAAACTATCCATGATCAGTTCTACCAAGGCTGTATTCAACATATCTTTTTAATGGATTATCAAATAAAAAGCAATTATATCACTAGTAATAAACGTTTATGCTATAACCACATTAATTACAGTAAAACAACTTATTCATTTTTTTAACTAAATTACATGATCCATTAAAATATCATTAAAGTTTTGTTTTTTTTTTTTTTTCTAACTTTAAAATTAAATTTTTAAATGAATTTTACTGTGATAATCTATATAATAATTATCTTTATTACACTTTGACAACATTCAGTAAATTCAGATAATTAATAAAATTAAACTGCCTTCACAATTTTGTTTCCTCAAGGAAGACGATAATTGGAAAATCATTTAGACTTTTGGCACTAAATACAAATTTGGATTAAATTCTTCACACTATTTTTTCTCATCAACTTTAAATAAATATTAAGATGTATATTCTTTTTAGCAATACAGTATAGACTGATCTGAGAAAAAAAATAATTATAAAACGTTAAAGAAAATTTTCTAATAATTATCGTTAGCGTTATTATATTTCTATTCATGGAAACTTAAAAAAAAAAAAAATCACTTATTTTCTTTAACAACTTACAATCTAGCAGAGTTTCAGATGAGCAGATGAAAATTGCGAACACAAAAAAAAGTCCTTTTTAGAACAATTATTGGCTCGGATCATGATGAGACAATCGGGAAAAAAAAAAAAAAAAAAAAAAAAAAAAAAAAAAAAAAAAAAAAAAAAAAAAAAAAAAAAAAAAAAAAATGAAAAGTATATCTAATTGACAATTCAAAAAAATAACCCGCTTTTAACAAAAAACTAAAAACACTAATTTATTACTTTAATCGTCATTGTTATTGTTAGTATTTGTAATATTATTTTGTTTTTTATTTTCAATTGACACCTAGGCATTTGCAAATTAATTTCTTAAATATTATCAATAGTTTATCGGATTGTTTATAATAAAGATAGAAGCCGGTAACGCAGGTCACGTAAAATAATCAGCGGTCGTTGTTTTTATTATTATTATTTTTGTTGATGTTGTTTAAGACACAAACACAATCGAGTTTCTTCTACAAATACTAAAATTCAATATCGATTAGCATTGTATTAATTAATTTATCGTTTGCTATTAGATTCTCACGTATATATATTTTAAAAACACATGATGATTGTTTTTAAAAATTATTTTAATCACTCATGATTATAACGTGTCAGGTACGGTGTCATGTGCAAGCACCAGTGTATATTATTAATAAACAAAAAAGTTTGTTGTTTGTTTTTTTTTTTTCTATTATTATTTATTTAAATAATAATGCAGAAGCCACCGATAACTCTCACCTTGACCGATACGATGAAGCATTAGTGAAAGGCACATGAATTCCAGAGCACGAAAAAACAAATTTCAAATCTAATAAAAACATGACTTGCACCGGCATCACAGAAAATTAACAAAAAAAAAAAATTAATAATTCAATCAGTAACTATATTTTTAGTTATTTATTTAATTTTGTTTAAAATTATCACAATTAGGCCAGTTAGAGCCTAGTCTCGTGAGGTAATTCGGGCATACTAGTGCTGGGAACAAGAAGACCAAGACTCTCTGGTGCTTGTGGATTTTGTTTACGGCCCAACAATTCAACACTTGTACCCCTATTGATCGGCTTGTTTACTTGAGTTTGTTTCTTGTCTTTGTTGTCGTTGGTAGTAACTGAAGTAACTACAACCACCTCGTTACTGTCATGCTCCTTTATCGGATGGAGTATTGCACTTTCTTCTCTGAAACATGGTAACAGTTGTGGTAGCGGTGGTGGACCATCTTCAATGTAATTAATATGGATTGTGTCGATAAAATTTTGCGTCTGAGGGCTCGCCGATGAAAATTCCGTAGGCGTGTAGTACTCGCTGTTAATGTCTTCCATACTAGCACTGTTGTAATTCGCCAGCTCGTTTATTTTAATTTTGAAGTATGTCTCGACATCCGGCATTGAAGAACTCAACTCTCGTGCGTCGAATCCAGCCGAGTCGCTTTTTCCACACGATCCACTGCGACAATTATCAAAGTACAAATTTGGCAAATTTTCCAATACTTTATTCAGGGTTTGCTGTTGATACTTGTACCCCTCGCGTAACCGTAACACTTGATGAGCACTAAATTTACGGATCTTGTTTCGTTGGAAGACGTAGTTCTCTCGTACCCAATTTAATTGTCCTGTTGAGTAGTCACGTACGCGTTTCACCTGTCAAACAAACAGATTGGTTTTTTTTTTTTTTTTTTTTTTTTTTTATAAATCGCCCGTATATCATTTTTTTTTCTACTATAAATTTTTTCTCCCCTCCGTGCGGAAAGCGTCAATTTTCTGCTCGCTGCGCTAAACGAAAATGCCGCTTTCCGCCTCCGTCGAGGAGAAAAATAGTATTCTCACCACGGGCAGGAAATAAGAAAGCCTCAGATCACATGTTTGTCGACCTCGGCTTCGCCTCGGTCAACATTTACATGTAATCTGAGACATTTCTTATTTTCCTGCCCCAGGTAAGAAAAATACTATTTCTTGCATTAATATTATTGAATGAAATATTTGGCAATTATCCAATACGCATTTACTGATTTATATTATATATAGATATATTGTTTACCTGTTCATAGTATTGATCTCGGAGTGTTGTAAGGTGGTTCGTTCCATAATCTCGGATGTCTCTTATGTGCCTCATTTGTCCCTCGTAACTGTCTCTTATCCATTCAACTTGCTGAGCACAATTGTCTTTTATTCTATGGACTTGCTGCGTGTAATTTTCACGCAAACGTTCAAGCTGTTGGCTCTTGTATTGCTCAATGTTATCCAGCATTTGATAGATTTGTTTAGCACGTGGTGTAACTCCGCGTCTACAGCAAGTGCACCATCTGCAGCAGCCACACCTGAGACATAATATAATATAATATAATATATTTTATTTTATAGTAGCTATCAATAATAAAAATAATGAACAATAAATAATAAAACTTACCGATAGAGAAGATATTTTATAAACTGGATGAAAAGAGTCAGCAGAAGAAATAACGTTGCGCAAGCAGCTCCAACAGCAATACTTAACATTTTTATGTTATGATAAACAATCGGATCCATCTTAAGATGGAGCCAAGTAGTAGCATTATTTATTGGATTAACTGCGAAACACTTGTAAAGACCGACATCCTGTCTCAGTAAATTTTTTATATACAGAGAACCATTTTCAAGCAAACGTACTCTACCATTGTTGTTGAGGTTTATTAAATTGTCTCTAGTGTGATCAATTGGATGATTATGAAATGTATCGGGAAAAGTACGATCGGGATTCCAGTGGAAGATCTCAAGTGTTGGAGTGACCCAGGTCAGTGATGGAGCTGGATTCCCATTGAATTCACACTCAAGCATTACCGATTTATTAATGAGATGCAGTTGATCGTTTTGGCTTTTGTGGGTTAAAACTGGTGGAGTGCAATTTAAGTACTTTAATGCATCCAGTATATCCACTTGGTCGTTATCACCGCATCTGAGTCCATGAGCGAATGCTTTTGGATGAATGTTGCTGTGTATCCAGTCGACAAACCAAAACATACGACAGTCACATGCCCAGGGATTACCTTGTAAATTCAAACTTGATAGATGTGTCAGGTGTGCCAGACTAGCTGGCAAGAAGAATAAATTGTTATTACGCAGGTCAAGGTTCCGAAGATGTGACAATTGATCAAATGCCTTTGAATGGATATCACGTAGCGGGCTGTTGGTGATTGTCAAATTAACAATACTGTTTAAGTCTAAAAAATCCTCGGCTTTTAACACTTTTAATCTTGTGTTGTCCATTATTAGGGATTTCAAGCTTGGCAAACGCTGCCAAATACCCAGAGGTAATTGTGAGACCAAAGTACTGCTGATGTCCAGTTGGATCAATCTGATCAGTCCTTGAAATGTGTAATCAGTTAAATTAGTTATTGGATTTTTGGAGATGTTTAAATACTCAAGAGCATTTAATTCAGTAAATAACCCACGTGGTAGATGGCTGATGCTGATGTTTGATATTTCAAGGTATCGTAATTTAGCAAGACCTGAAAATACTCGGCTAGGTAAATTTAGGAGATGATTGTTTGATACTTTTAGATAAACCAATTCACGGTTTGGCTGAAATGTAAATTCTTGCAGTAAAACAAGGTAATTCCCAGAGAGATCAAGATGACGTAGATACTGTGAGGAAGCAAATGCCTTGAATGGTGGAACTTCAAGACGATTACGTGATACTAATAGAGTTTCTAGTGAGTAAAGATTTTTGAAGGCAGGTAAATTTTTTAATAAATTACCCGATATATTGAGGTACCTCAGCTCTTCGAGTGGACTAAAAATATCGGGGTCCAATGAAGTGAGACGGTTGTCACCTAAATCGAGATAGTGCAGCCGTTTTGTTGTGGAAAATATCCCGCGCTCCAGTTGCTCTATTCCGCTTGAAGACCACGTGAGTTTTTGAAGCTGGGTCGAGGATTCCAGCGCGGTGATACTCACTATCCCAGCCTCTGTACTTACATCCTCAAACTCGATTTCTATGACACCCGCGGGTAATCTCAGATCCTGAAAACGGCGAGCCTTACATTGTAAATTCCAATTTCCGGTGCATCGGCAGCCAGCAGCACATTCGATGGTTGTTGCTAGGTGATTGCCAGTATTTTGGTGTCTGCCAGGATGCTCTTGATATGAATCCACATCTGATGATACTATTTTGACAGTCACCAGCAGCAAGCATGCCAGCAGACGATATTGTGAAAGACTCGGAGCTAAAAGTCTCATTCCTTATTATGTTATTAATACAGTGTTGATTTTTTGAGCACGTATCACTACCACCTCCCATTTCCTTCTTACTCTAGCCGATTATGGTAGAGTCCAATAAGTTTTCATAACCAACAAATAATACCAATTATAATAATAATCAAAATAATATTATTAATAATAATTAATTTATCTAATAAATACAGACTTTACTGTTTGTTGTTGTTGCTGATGTTCTCAGTCTTCTTTCTTTCCCTCTCTCAATCGCTATTTATTTTCTGTTCCAATCTCTGTCAGTTATATTTTTACAAATATATCAGTAAAAACGAGATGATTATTATTATTATTATTATTATTATTATTATTGAAGCCGTTTAAATAAATAATAATAATTGTTACTATATTCATAAACAACATCAACAACAATATCAATATTTTTTATAATAATAATGAAGTAACAATTGTTAACCGTTGGCTAAATATCTAAATTCTTTTATAGAGAATGTGCCAATACCATTGTACACCCACGCAACTCTCATATTTCTTAATTATTTAACAGCCCCTTTCTCGTTTACAACTTTTTAATAATTTTAATAATAATAATAATACAGATTATTATTTTGCCTATTCATTCTTGCTTTATATTATTTTCCGTGAAACTCTTCAATTTAATTTATTAATTAAATTAATCAATACCTGACGTTATTTTATTTAATTTTATTATTGGAGTACCAAAATCAATATTAGTGTTAAAATTTATCAGCCAATAAATGAATATTATTTTTCACTTTTATTCCTGACCTTATATGACACTGAATCCGCCATACATTTTGGTACGTAATAATATAAACCGTCCTCCGTACAATGTGCAACCCACTTCGTTCCCGAGGCTAAAATTGACTGGCAGACACTCTCTCAAAACTCCTCGTGGGTGCTCGTAGCTTCTGTAGCTCGAAATCTGGCAACGCTGGGTTTCCCGATCAAGTCAGAGTTTACTGGTTTACTTGCTACTCACTGCTGCTGCTGCTGCTGCTGTTGCTGTTGCTGTTGCCTCTGCTTCTTGTCTCTTGAACTTGGCAACGTTGCGCCGTCGCTGTGTGTACTCTTACCCAGCCACCACTAGTAAAATATTACAAATCAAATATACATATACAAAATTCGTTTGTACTGTTTTACTTTATATACTTTATATAAAATATATGAAATAGTATATAGATAAAAAAAAAAAAAATTAAACGTACTAAAGAACTCGACCTGTGAAGATTTAATACCCGCTTACTATGAATTTTTATTCAACTTGGCTTTCTTTTTTTCTCTTCTTCTCTTCTTCATCCTGTCCTTTTTTTAATATCAGTCTTATAATCTTACTTGTTATAAGACTATGAATAAATACTTGTAGCAAGTACGTATTTCATTATAAAATTTTTCAGGAGCATAAAGAAAATTCTTTTAATCCAAATATTTTTTTCCTAAAACAAAAAAAAAATTATTTATAGATACAAGCTTAAATTAAATCAATACAACCAAGCGTTTGAAAGTAGTAACAATAATAATAAATATTATCTATTTATGATTACAGTGTTAAAAATGATAAGGACTTGTTAGTTACAATATAATATTCTCTTTATCACACGTAATTTCGAAACATATTTAAATATTGATATACTCAATGAAAATATTTACATATTTTTTTTTTTTTTTTATTTTTTTTCGTAATAACTCGGTTCTACGTAAAACATTTTTTCCCCCAACATAAAAATATTGATCGTTCATTTGGAAAATAATTAACGATCAGATATTTATATTTTTAAGTATATATACAATCAAGATAAATTTATTGATTAAAATAAACATCTCAATATTTTTTTTTTTTTTTTTTTCTAAATATATACATTTATGTTAAACTTGGAGCAGTTATAAATGAACGATACTTGTGAGGTCACGGTTAAATACAAAAGGACAAAAAGGAAAACCTATTCTCGCAGAATGTTAAATGTATTTCTAAACGATTCAATAGACGTCACAAAAATATATTTTTTTTTATCTTTCAATCTTTTAAAAATACGAACAGACAAAAGTGAAAGTTTATAAGCGTCACTTTTGCTTTTACGCTTATGAACCCACTGGATAATTATAGCGTCTTTGAAATGAGCTATAACTATAATTGAAGTAAGCTCCGTGTAAAGAATAAATAAAAACAATTTGTTTATCTAAAAAAAAAATGAAAAAAGAAGATATAAGTTAGGGTTCAATTTGTCATGCTGTAAAAGTTGAGTAGGAATGATATGAAAGAGTGTGTATTATAAGTGTAAAGTTTAAGTACCAGACGAAAAGAGTATAACAGGGACGACAAGCTTGAATCAGCTGGGTTGTCTGCTATGTTGCCATCTGGGAACTAACCCAGCCAGGTTCGATCAATATTACTCAAGTCGGCAACACCGCACTGAAATAAATAAAGGCTCCATGTATATACTGATATATACACGGTTAGAATAGGAGCTGGCTGGTACCAAAAACCATTTGCTGTTGCCTGTTCTCAACACGTTTATGCTTTTTTATTCTTCACCTTTCATGCTTGTCGGCTAAATTTTTTATTTCATCTTCGTGGACCATATTCTTCATTCCACTTGTTAAATCTTAAAGCCATGCATTACTTGAGTATGCAGTCAAAATTTTAATGCCAAAACCTAAAATATTAAGAGTATTAAAAGTTTTTATGTCACGCTTTCATTATTTTCTACTTACTGAGCAACAATTCCACTAGCTTGAGAGTGTGATGAAAAATAAATTGTCGACAAGAAAAAAAAAAAAAAAAAAAAAAAAAAAAAAAAAAAAAAAAAAAAGAGTATTTTCATCATGACCCGTTTCTGTCGTTATTTATGAAAAATTCCGCCTCTTGCTGTTGATATTAATTAATGGCTTGGATACTATTGTGCTAATTGAATGCGTAGATGTTGAATACTGTATTTAATGGATTACATAAAATATTAGTCCAGGTCACGAGGAATTTAGTCACGCGTTCGAATAAATAATACTGAAATAACAAAGAAAAAAAAAAAAAAAAAAAAAAAAAAAAATTAATTAATTAATTAATAAATAAAAATTACAAGTTTAATTTGATGTACATATCACATCCGTTTTAGTAATCTGGATGAAAAAATATTTTCGTGGGTCAATATACTGAAATGACCGTTTTAAACCGTTATTTCAATGTATATACTTTGTTAAAAAATATTGTAGAAGCTATTAAAAATAAATAGCAAGGTCATTTATCATAAAATCTTTACTTGCTGATTGCCGTGATTACATACTGTATTATTTATTTTTGATAACAGTTATACTCATGTAAATATTTATAGTAATTTTTTTACTAGTGCAAGTAGAAAAAATATTAACGAGTAATTTAATACAACATATATAAGTTATATAAACGTGTTTTGTGAAAATATTATTCTGTTACATATATAAACAGGCTTGTACATTTTATAACAATAATGTACAGTATGTTCAACAGACAGTATTTCTCCGTTAACGTATTTTAAGACCCTAATTGTCGTGGTAATGCGGACTTTGTTGAAACATATGCCTTGGCAACAACTAATGACGCCTACTGCTGAGTAGAAAGAACTCCAAAGCTCCGATAAAGATGATAAGGGCTGAGTAATTTCCCGTTTAAAATATTTAATACTTCTGTAAATACATTTGACAGCTGATCGTTTCAATTCTCATTATGTTCTTGCTAATTATATAATAATTTATCTAAGCGCTGATAGATAATTTTTAATGTGTTTTTTTAAGTACTCTGCTTCAGTGTACTTTTATTGGGTAATCAGAGATTATAACATCAAAAAATACGGATAGAATATCAAGGAAATCCTTGGTATGATAGTGGAGAGCATTGATAGGACTTAACAAGTCTGTAAAATAAAGAAAAAAATTAGTAATGGCGACATTGGACGATGTAGCGAAAGCAAAGTGTACCTATCCGGTGTTTCACCGCGTGGCATTACGTGACTCGGTTTATCCTACAAATGGCGTTTCAGGTTAAACAACTGGAGCGACTGCCATCTGTTGTAAAGGGTAGTAATTAAACAGACTGACTGCTTTCTCACACAGATGTCACTAGATACCAATAACAAAATTTTTTGAATTTATTATCTGTCACCGAAATTTAATTTTATAAATTAAATATGTAATTAATGTAATTTAATGTTTTTTTTTTTTTTTTTAATTTTTAAGTGTAATGACTTTGTAAAAGCTGGTGCTGATCATGGACTCACTCCATCAGACGTTGTACAGGCTGCTGATATTACATTCTCTTGTGTAGCTGATCCACAAGCTGCTAAAGATGTAAGTTTTATTAATTTATTGTAAATAAATAACAAGAAAAATTCAATAAATTGCATTAAATAAATTGCATTTTTAGAAGCTCAAAAAAATTATAAATGCAATTTTTGAAAAATAATTTTCTAGTCCTAGTTTATTTTAAAGAAAAATCTAAAAATTGTCAAGTGTCTGCTAGTTTCAGTGTCATAAATAAGTATAAAAAAAATAATGATTGATATTAAATTTCAGATGGTATTTGGAAACTGTGGTGTCTTGATGGAAATAACTCCAGACAAAGGTTACGTAGAGATGACAGGAATAGATGCTGAGACTTCTCAGGATATTGCTGAGGCAATAAACGCAAAAGGTGGACGTTACTTGGAGGCACAAGTACAGGGTAGTAAAACTCACGCACACCAAGGTACTTTGGTGATCCTTGCTGCTGGTGACAGATCGTTGTTCGATGAATGTCAGTCGTGTTTCGAGGCGATGGGAAAAAACACTTTTTACTTTGGCGAAGTCGGTAATGCCTCGAAGATGAACCTGGTGTTACAATTGATGGCTGGTATTACTCTCGCGGGTCTTGCTGAGAGTATGGCGTTAGCAGACCGTGCTGGACTTCAACAAAAACACGTGCTGGAGGTTCTTGAGCTTACGTCGTTAGCGTGTCCAGCTATTTTGGATAAAGGCAAAGG